GACCTCAGGGATGTTTATTATCCACTGTGATGCGTAAGTGGCTTGGGATTTTAGGGTTATTATGCGCAGCAGCCTCCTGGGTTCAAACCGTGAACTGTGAACCATGAACTGTGAACCATGAACCGTGAACCTCTATGAAAAGCGGCGATCGTGCAACCGCTGGGCAGCCGCTGGGTCGCCGCTCCACCCGTCGCTTGAGACTGGTCTAAACGCTCGCTTTTCTTCGTTGCAGCCCGCGTCGATGCCTTGGTATTCATCGCGCGGCGCTGCTCGCTGCAAATCCAGCGCCACGAGCTAAAGATAGACGTCCGGGAGCGGTGAGGAGCCAGGGCAGGGATTTTCGCAACCGATATTTGGCTAATTGACCAAATGCGCAAAGAGCAGCTACCTTGTGGGCAGGATGGGGAAATGTGTGCGCGACGTGCGCATGATATCTACGCAACAAACCACACAGCAATGTACAATGTTTACTTCGGTGAAACGGCTCTTTTAAAAATGTGCTTTTGTGGTATATAATATTTACGAGGTTAAGTTCAAACAAACAAAAAAAGCGATTTCCTGCTCAAATGAGCATTGACATGGCACGCATCTCCCTGCTTACAGCCATGGACCTGGGGAAGTCTTCACAATTGCAGTGATTGTCCACAGGACAATGGACAATAACTGTTGGTTTCCCCACAGAGTGGTACTTATTTTATCCAACCCATAGAGGTGATGGGCCGAGGCAATCTCCAATCAGGACTTTAACTCACATCCTTCTGATTGTGAGTTGCTCGCTCTTTCGCCTGTTTTTAAAGCAACTTTACTTTCATTTTATTGTTTAGTTTCTTTGCGGAAGTATTTTATGCTTAATATTCTGTCTGCGCCCTTTCTCTCTTCTCTGTCTGGGTCCAGAGATTAACTAGTATTAAACCAATGCTACTAATGAGATGCACCCCGAGAAAATTTTATATTTTACATGGAGGGACAGATATTGTAAGGAGGCGTTATCATGTGCTTGTTTATTTTGTGTGATTTCAAATCGACGTGAGTTGTAATTGCTGGTCTAGTACACTCCTTATATGTGTCGCACTGGCGATGTGGACCCGCTGTCGAACATTGCAAGCCATTGTTAATGAAATTCCAAATTTACGTTTTTGTCATCTCATGATGAAATCATGTTGAGCTCTTTCTCAATCAACTAGCCCGCCCGACACTAGCCCTACCAATAACCACACTAGCCAGCCAGACACTAGCCCTACCAATAACCACACTAGCCAGCCAGACACTAGCCCTACCAATAACCACACTAGCCAGTCAGACACTAGCCCTACCAATAACCACACTAGCCAGCCAGACACTTGCCCTACCAATAACCACACGAGCCAGCCAGACACTAGCCATACCAATAACCACACTAGCCAGCCAGAAACTTGCCATACCAATAACCACACTAGCCAGCCAGACACAAGCCACACCAATAACCACACTAGCCAGTCAGACACTTGCCATACCAATAACCGCACTTGCCAGCCAGACACTAGCCATACCAATAACCACACTAGCCAGCCAGACAATAGCCCTACCAATAACCACACTAGCCAGCCAGACACTAGCCATACCAATAACCACACTAGCCAGCCAGACACTAACCATACCAATAACCACGCTAGCCAGTCCGACACTAGCCATACCAATAACCACAATAGCCAGCCCGACAATAGCCATGCCAATGGCCACACTAGCCAGCCAGACTCTAGCCCTACCAATAACCACACTTTCCAGCCAGACACTAGCCATACCAATAACCACACTAGCCAGCCAGACACTAGCCATACCAATAACCACACTAGCCAGCCAGACACTAGCCATACCAATAACCACACTAGCCAACCAGACTCTAGACCTACCACTAACCACACTAGCCAGCCAGACACTAGCCATACCAATAACCACAATAGCCAGCCAGACACTAGCCATACTAATAACCACACTAGCCAGCCAGACAATTGCCATACCAATAACCACACTAGCCAGCCAGAAATTTGCGCTACCAATAACCACACTAGCCAGCCAGACACTAGCCATACCAATAACCACACTAGCCAGCCAGACACTAGCCCTACCAATAACCACACTAGCCAGCCAGACACTTGCCATACCAATAACCACATTAGCCAGCCAGACACTAGCCCTACCAATAACCACACTAGCCAGACAGATACTAGCCCTACCAATAACCACACTAGCCAGCCAGACACTTGCCATACCAATAACCACACTAGCCAGCCAGACACTTGCCATACCAATAACCACACTAGCCAGCCCTGCACTAGCCATGCCAATAACCACACTAGCCAGCCAGACACTAGCCATGCCAATAACCACACTAGCCAGCCAGACACTAGCCATGCCAATAACCACACTAGCCAGCCAGACTCTAGCCCTACCAATAACCACACTAGCCAACCAGACACTAGCCATACCAATTACCACACTAGCCAGCCAGACACTAGCCATACCAATAACCACACTAGCCAGCCAGACACTAGCCATACCAATAACCCCACTTGCCGACCAGACACTAGCCCTACCAATAACCACACTAGCCAGCCAGACACTAGCCACACCAATGACCACACTAGCCAGCCAGACATTAGCCCTACCAATAACCACACTAGCCAGCCAGACACTTGCCCTACCAATAACCACACTAGCCAGCCCGACATTTGCCATACCAATAACCGCACTAGCCAGCCAGACACTAGCCATACCAATAACCACACTAGCCAGCCAGACACTAGCCCTACCAATAACCACACTAGCCAGTCAGACACGTGCCATACCAATAACCACACTAGCCAGCCAGACACGAACCATACCAATAACCACGCTAGCCAGCCCGACACTAACCATACCAATAACCACACTAGCCAGTCAGACATTAACCCTACCAATAACCACACTAGCCAGCCAGACACTTGCCATACCAATAACCACACTAGCTAGCCAGACACTAGCCCTACCAATAACCACACTAGCCAGCCAGACACTAGCCCTACCAATAACCACACTAGCCAGCCAGACACTAGCCCTACCAATAACCACACTAGCCAGCCAGACACTAGCCATACCAATTACCACACTAGCCAGCCAGACACTAGCCATACCAATAACCACACTAGCCGACCAGACACTAGCCCTACCAATAACTACACTAGCCAGCCAGACACTAGCCACACCAATGACCATACTAGCCAGCCAGACATTAGCCCTACCAATAACCACACTAGCCAGCCAGACACTTGCCCTACCAATAACCACACGAGCCAGCCCTACACTTGCCATACCAATAACCACACTAGCCAGCCAGACACTAACCATACCAATAACCACACTAGCCAGCCAGACACTTGCCATACCAATAACCACACTAGCCAGCCAGACACTTGCCATACCAATGACCACACTAGCCAGCCAGACACTTGCCCTACCAATAACCACACTAGCCAGCCAGACACTACCCATACCAATAACCACACTCGCCAGCCAGACACTAGCCCTACCAATAACCACACTAGCCAGTCAGACACTAGCCATACCAATAACCACACTAGCCAGCCAGACACTAGCCCTACCAATAACCACACTAGCCAGCCAGACACTAGCCATACCAATAACCACACTAGCCAGTCAGACACTAGCCATACCAATAACCACACTAGCCAGCCAGACACTTGCCATACTAATTACCACACTAGCCACGCAGACACTTGCCATACCAATAACCACACTAACCAGCCAGACACTAGCCCTACCAATAACCACACTAGCCAGCCAGACACTTGCCCTACCAATAACCACACGAGCCAGTCAGACACTTGCCATACCAATAACCACACTAGCCAGCCAGACACTTGCCATACCAATAACCACACTAGCCAGCCAGACACTACCCATACCAATTACCACACTAGCCAGCCAGACACTAGCCATACCAATAACCACGCTAGCCAGCCAGACACTACCCATACCAATAACCACACTCGCCAGCCAGACACTAGCCCTACCAATAACCACACTAGCCAGCCAGACACTTGCCATACCAATTACCACACTAGCCACCCAGACACTTGCCATACCAATAACCACACTAACCAGCCAGACACTAGCCCTACCAATAACCACACTAGCCAGCCAGACACTTGCCATACCAATAACCACACTAGCCAGCCAGACACTTGCCATACTAATTACCACACTAGCCACGCAGACACTTGCCATACCAATAACCACACTAACCAGCCAGACACTAGCCCTACCAATAACCACACTAGCCAGCCAGACACTAGCCATACCAATAACCACACTAGCCAGCCAGACACTAGCCCTACCAATAACCACACTAGCCAGCAAGACACTAGCCACACCAATAACTACACTAGCCAGTCAGACACTAGCCCCACCAATAACCACACTAGCCAGCCGGACACTTACCATACCAATAACCACACTAACCAGCCAAACACTAGCCCTACCAATAACCACACTAGCCAGCCAGACACTTGCCATACCAATAACCACACTAGCCAGCCAGACACTAGCCATACCAGTCACCACGCTAGCCAGCCAGACACTAGCCCTACCAATAACCATACTAGCCAGCCAGACACTAGCCCTACCAATAAACACACTAGCCAGCCAGACACTAGTCCTACCCCAACAATACTCCCCAAAATGCTCAACCTTTCCCCTAGCCCCACCAAATGCGTTAACCAGAGTCTAGCACTAGCCCTACCCCAACTCGAACTATCACCCGACCTGTGGATGTTCGCGTGAGCACCTTCCCACTCTCTGTTTGCATTGTACACGGAGCGTGCAAAGCTCGTGCCCACGGATGTTGTTTCTCTTTGCCCGCTGGCTGTGGTGGAACCAGCGCTGCGATTCGGCCGCTCGATCGGTGCATCACGCGATCGCGGCACCCGAACGTCACTTCTCGTTCGCCGCTCCGTCTCTTTCAGGAAAAGGTTGAGTACGTGTTCCTGGTGATCTTCACGGTGGAAGCCTTCCTCAAGATCATGGCGTACGGCCTCCTCGTTCATCCAAACGCCTACTTGCGCAACGGGTGGAACCTCCTGGACTTTGTCATCGTGGTGGTGGGGTGAGTGAAGGGTGGGGTGAGTGAGGGCTGACCCACACACTGGACTCGGACCCTAACCCGATGAAGGGTTGGCTTGGTGATGCAGTGGTAACACTCGTGCCTGACAGCAAGAAGTGCCTGGGATTAGTTCCTGACTCGGACATCTTTCTGCATGGAGTTTGTACATTCTCACCCTGTTCTGCAGAGTGTGAGTGAGTGTGTGACATTTATCTAAAAAGATCTTGGGCCTCCCCTAGGTCGACTCAGCTTCAAATGAGTACCTGGTACGATTTGTCATTTATTATATATTGCATTTGTTTTTGCCCTAATTTTGTCTTTGCTTCATTGCCATACTTGTTTTTTTGTTATTATGTTATTTGGATGATCCAGGCCACCCACCCATGCAAATGAGTCTCTTCCTGGTCCCTTAAATTATCACCTGGTCCATTAAAACACGCTTGAAACACGTGGACGAGAGCGCGCAGGAGGAGAGGGAGGAGGAGGAGATATGGAGGGAGAAGGCGGTACCAATGAGGATGCAAGCAAGGCCCTGCATTTCTCTGCTGTCAGAGTAATTCTCTCCGGTGAAAGCAGCGTTCTTTGCTCATGGCCAGGCCGCTAAACGATTTTTCACAGAGCATTCGCTCTAAGATTGTTTCCCTGTGGCAGTTTTGCTAGGAAGTGGGAATTCTGGGTTTCACTTCCTTCATCACATGAATAGAAATTGGAATACGCACTTGACCTTTGTGAAGGTGTCATAATTTAATATATGCGGGGTGTAAATATTCGAATTAATTCAATGTACATAATTAATAACAGGTACAGAAAGCGTGATCTATGTCTTAGAGTGTTCATGTGCGGCGTGAACGTGTGCATGTGGGAGATCATCTGTGGGGAGCGGTGGTGCAGTCGTTAGCACACTGTGCTATGAGTCCCATGACCCGAGTTCGATTCCCACTCATGGCCAACATCAGTGGCAGCAAGTGTTACCAGAACTTGTCTTGGGGCTCCCGAAGGGTAATTCAGCATTAAATGAGTCCCTGATGTGGTGTGTAAACATCAGCTTTGGGAGACAAATACTCCCAGGTGTCGTGCTGACTACACCTTTGCAGGTACTCACTAATAGCACTTATCTCGCACCTCCGATTAGCATGATTGGCTACATATGATGCAAAAGAAGTTAAACAAACATACATACCCTAACAGTGTAGTAAATAAGAAAGGCATCACAAAATTTTTATGAATGTGATACAACTTTGTGTAAATTAAGAAAATGATATTATACTGTACAAGTAAACAGACAAGGATCTCGGGTTTATTGCAAATGAAGAGGTGGACCAGAGCAGGTTATATTGTGTTTTGAAAGTTGAACTTTATCATAAAAAGCCACCACCCAGCACTGTGGCCCAGAGAATAAAGTTTTCAATCAGTGCGTGCCACCTGCGGTGACACGTGGTTCAGAAACGTCGAGGCCATGAACAACCACGGAACAGAAATTGCGAAGTGCGCAACGACGCACGAAGAGTTGCATGCTGGGATTACACTGAGAGGCAGCAAGAGGTAGACGTGCAGTAGCGGACGCGAGCTCGTGGGTGAGAAGCATCATCTTGACCTTTCAGGCTAAATGAGAGGGCTTGCACAGGACATGTGGCTCAATGGACCGATGGACGATTGTCAAGAATAATAATAGAGTGGCAGCCAAGGATTGGAACGCGTCCAAGGAGACGTGCACCCAGGAGATGGAGCGATGAGATCGGTGTGTGTGCATGGGCTGGGTGGACTGTTGCATCGCAGAATCATGGAAGGTGGCGGTAGCTTGTGGAGGCCTTCATCCAGCAGTGGATTGATGATGACTGATGATGCTGATGATTTCGTCCATCAAATTATCATCCTTTTGAACTGATGTTTGTCCAGAAGCATTTGTTTATTATGCAGCAAGCCCTGGACTGGGGTGTGGACTTCTTTGAAGCTTGCCAGCAGGCGGTGGGTTGCCTGTTAAATGAATGCCGCAGGCTTGCCTGGTGTTATTGGTAACAACGCTCCACAAACCCCGCTCCTGGCAGTTTAATTTACACGTTATATTTTTAACTTGACATTTGACAACGATGATGAAAATCGATGTAAACTTTAGCATATTTACTTTGGCCTGTGCATACATTAGAATGAAAACAAAACTGATTGTAAATTCTGGGCTGCTACAAATTAGGGTGGAGCCCCTTCTGCCAGCAGTGGCTGCGAGTGAGCAGTTGCAGGGCTGCACCTCTGCCTTTTAACTGAGAAACGGAGAAACTGTGCCACGCGGTGACTTAACCCGCCGTGCGGTTTGTCCATTTGCGAGAGCCAATCCTTGAGTTCAGTACTCATATTCCATGGAAATCGGTTACTTGTTCTGTAAGTCTGTAACCGGTAACGATTAAGAAATGTTGACCGGTTCAGTGATGATTGTTTAACAACCCCGATATGGATATCATGATGATATCTCTTCACTCGAAAGCTTTGCTGATATTCGAGACTCACTGTCCATCACCAAATCTGTGGCCAGGGAGGTTTTTGGTAGTTTAGTAGTAGTTTAGTACGAGTTTAGTAATATATTAGTCATAGTTTAGTACTGGTTTTGTAGTAGTTTAGCAGTAGTTTAGTTAAAGTTTGAGTCTTGAAATAACCCTTTAGCACAAGGGGCTCGCGCTCAATGTCCAAGCAGAGAGTCAGCATCCTACTTGCTGTACTATCGTATAACGTCCCTTATTTTGATTTAATAAGCAAGTGAGTTATCTCTATCAACACGCCTAACGAGGAATGTTCAATGTTCACGAGACTGCAAGCGTGGGAGCACTCTTCAGTGTCTGTGCATGCGAGTTGCGTGTATGTGTGTGTCAGTTGTGTGTCTGTGTGTGAATTGTGTGTCTGTGTGCGAGTTGCATGTCTGTGTGTCTGTGTGTGTGATTTGTGTGTCTGTCTGTGAGTTGTGTCTGTGTGTGTGAGTTGTGTGTCTGTGTGTCTGTGAGTTGTGTGTCTGTGTGTCTGTGTGTGCGAGTTGCATGTCTGTGTCTGTATGTGTGAGTTGTGTGTGTGTGTCTGCTACTGGGCTCCTGGGCGGCACAGTGGCGAGATGTTAACTACCTCGCCTTGTATACAGGAGGTCGTGGGTTGGATCGTGACCTTGACGCCTGCTGTAAATTTGTTTGCATGTTTTCACCGTGGTCCCTTGGATTTTTATCTGGGTCCTCCGGGGTTTCTTTCCACATTTAGAATCAACATGCGTTGAGAGTATTTGCCTGCTATAAATTTACGCGTGATAAGCCACTTTGTTGAGCTATCATTTATGGCCAGGTCGCTTCTGAAAAATAGATATATTACTCAGTGGGCCTTACCTGGTGAAATACAAAAATAGTTGAATTTTTAGTTTAATTTATTTGGAGGCAGTCACCCTCCAACAACGATGGACAGCAGAGTAGCAACGTTCACAACAATGTGCGGAGCACCATGGTGGATAAAATACAGCAAGTTGGCAGTGTAGCGAACCCACGTGCTCCATCTGCCAGTCTTCTGAGTCAATCAACCCCATGGCACCTGGCTCTGTCCCATGACCTCCTGTCAGCGAGCTTTCCACACTTCACGTGTCCTCAAAGTGCACTCAGCCTGTCACCAACATGATGGTGACATCACCACCCCTTAGTTGCGAATAGCGGCTCCTGTAGTGTGTGCCTGTGTAGGGGGTTGACTCGCTCCATCATCCCTCCTGCATTAATAAATTGAGGACCACTTTGTGGGGAAAATGAAAGCGCTTTGACATGTATTTTACTATCAGTTTACCTCTTCCATAGGTGGCAGGGTAGCATAGTGATGACCATTGTGTCACACAGCAAGACCATCCTGTGTTCACTTCCGCACTCAGGCGCATATCTGCATGGACATTGTGTGTTCTCCCTCTTCTGCATGGGTTTCCTCCGGTTTCACCTCAAAGCAAATAAATGCACACTTTGTAATCGGTATTGGTCAAACATCCCAATGCTGAAAAATTACCTCAAGAATATCTCAATTGGGATCATAAAGCAGCAGCATCCCCCCTCCATCCCCACTGAAAAACTTGGTAGGACCCTCCTGAGAGGGAATCTTGAGACTCAGTGAGGCTCTCCTGGGTAAACAAGTGCAGCAGCGATAATAATAATGATGATGATTGTCAAGGCACCTCTTTCTCTCATAGAATATGTACAATGCAGTACAGCGAGTAGGCTGCTGTATATTATGAGACTGAGCATGCTTCTTATCCATGCGAGGATTTTTATGGGTGCTTCAGCTTCCTCCCACTTGCAAAATGAATCCCGTCTGAGGGAATTGACCAAACATTTTTAGAATATAGAATACTCATTGATGCTCAATGTCAATTTTCCAGCGTGAAACACATTTGTGTATTTTATTTTACAATTATCTCTAACGGCGCACGCACTGCCCTCTGCTGCAAACACTCCCCTCATGCGTTTGTTCCACCTCTGTGTTATTTGCCCACTGAGTGAGACACCTCAACCATAACCCATTTGGTGTCGCAGAGAGGGACATCAGGGGGTGCAGGGCCTAGGGAAAATCCCACCGTGTGGGCCCCCCGACATCTTAAAACTAATCCAGAACTATGACATCTGACACCACTGTGACGTCGAAGCGTGGGGCCCCCCAAAGGGCAGGGCCCGGGGCGGTCGCCCCGACTAAACTAATTCAGCTGCACAGCGTTTGAGCGAGTGGCTCATAATCGGAAGGTTGCGGGTTCAAACGCTGGTTGGGATGGTTGACTCAGCCCATCATCCCCCAGGGGTCAATAAGACGTTCCACTTTGTGGGGAAGTCGACAGTGGTTGTTCCGTGGATTTAGACTCACCCCTGCCATAGGAATATGGAATTTCCCCCACTGGCTCAGGGCTGGAGATAGGAGATGAGCCCTGCCTCGATGTCCACATGAGCCAGAGCTCACTGCCTTTGAACGAATTGAGTTGGGGTCATGCAGGGCCACTTCTACATAGATTATGTGGGCGTCTGCTAGGTTAACTCGGCCTGAAATGTACACTGCATTGATTACCTATGTTGTGAAGATATGAGTTGATATGGCCTGTGAATGGGTTATACCTCATTCTTGCGGTGTCATGCCGGCCTTAATAGGCGCTCCCTAACAGCTCGTATATAGGGATGGGAGGAGGTCATTGGGGGCGAGTGAAGGAGGGAGGGAGGTAGCGGAGAAGGGCGAGGCAGGGAGGGGAGATCAGTTGGGGTGAGACGAGGGTGACATCGATTGAGTGGGTTTGGCTGCGTCTCTCTGTGAGTCACGCTTCGCCGCTCACCCCTAATTGCTGTGCCGCTCACTTTGTTGTGAATTTGCTCGACAATCACAAACAGCAGCAGCAGCAGCCTCGTGTAATGAGCAGCGTGCCCAACATAAGGAGTTTGTATGTTTGTATGTTTTACCCCTTTTCTGCATCGGATTCCTCCCACAGCTAAAAATCATTCAATGAAACTAGCATTGACCAAACATCCCAAAGTATAAAATCACCTGCAAATTACTCAATTGAAATCACACACAGCAGCAGCATCGTCTCCTCCTGTGAAAACATGGCAGGACCCTCCTGAAAAATAGTCTTGAGACTCGGTGAGGCCTTTCTCGATTATTGTTATTATCATCATTATGATTATTTTTAAGAAGACAAATTCTGGATTTGTTTTGGCTTGCTGTCTCTCATCAGCAGAGTGCGGTCTGTCGTAATGGTGTCATACACTGGTGAAAGTCGAAACTGGACCAATTATGCTGTGATGTATTTTGTGTAGAACAGGGTCCATTTTATCAGCGCCTCTCTCACACCGACGATGGAAGAGAGAGAAAGTAGAATATCGGAAACCTACTCACGCACAGGCGCTAAAAATAGACCACGCACAAATACAGAGAGACAGATCCCCGTATAGTCTTTAACAAGACCGTTTAACATGTAGGCTTTCGCGACCAATATTATTCATAATAAAGGTTTTTGGGTTAGATCGCGTAAGTTTAAACGTGTCGTAACCCTCCACCACCCGACACAGCCAGTAAGGTTTGTCAGGTAAACAACGCGCCAATTAGTTTACTACTTCACCTGCCCGGTGTGTTGAAAAGTAAATCCACAAAATTTACAATTTGGTAATTACATACAGCATCATTGGGCGATTTTCCAAATCGCCCGATGACGAGTTACGACACATTTATACTTTCGCAATCTAAACCTTCATTATGAATTTAACAAGATTGTAAGTAAGTGCTGCTCGTGAGCGCCTATGAAGGCTGGCACGTCACATGAGGGAGAAAGTACCCAGCATCACGCCCGGCCGCCTTTGTCTTCTCAGTACTCACGTTTACACACCATCCCAGGTTGTCATTTAAGGATGAGTTAACCTAGGGTCGCCGGGTTGGTTGTGAAGTGTGCTAGTCACGGCACTACCGCACCCCATCACACACAAGCATCCACACACACGTTTTAGAATGACAAAAATTGTGTTCCACTGACACGATATTGAGTTGATTCATGTCTTGACCACCTTTGTCTCTCCTGCAAGAAGCTAAACATCCCACTGTCAACACCTCCCCCAGCGAGCGGTGGGGGAGCAGGGAGCAGAGGGGAAGATGGGTTTCAGATGCGGGGTCACAGCTGCCTGGGCAATTAATGCGACGTGCGGATCATTTAACGCACACAGAATCGATGCACCCGATAGGATACGAGAGATTTCTCTAGAAAAGAATGGAGCCCCTATCCCCTCTCTCACCATCGCTCCCTCCTCTTTCTCACGCTCCCCCTTCTTCCTTCTCATCCTCATCATGACCTCCTCCCCCCTCCCTCCTCCTCCCTTCCTCCTCCTCCCCCCTCCTCCTTCCCCCTCCTCCTCCCCCCTTGTCCTTCCCCCTCGTCCTTCCCCCTCGTCCTTCCCCCTCCTCCTTCCCCCCTCTTCCTCCCCCCTCCTCCTCTCCCCTCCTCCCCTTCCTCCTCCCTCCTCCCCATCCCACCTCCTCCCTCCATAAAAGACGAAACGAGGACTTGAGAGGGTTCAGAGGTACCGTGGGGCGTCACGCCGTCACGGTGCAAGAGTGATGTCACACGGACAATCATTGCCGTGACAGCACGAGAGGCCCCTCCCAGGGGCACCGGCCCAGTCTCGGGAGCCGTGATGGCTCGTGAGCAACGAGAGCGATGAGAGTGACGTGTGTCTGTGAGGGCCCACGGCAAGGAACGCGATGGACGGGTGGATGATGCGCCTCCTTCACGTATCCCATCAGTCACGTGCCCTTTTGGCAGTGCTTAATTTCAACAGCATGGATTCAAAACATGCAAACCTAAAACTGTTTTGCACATTCCGTGTCGCGTCAGCAAAGTCACGCTCGCTGGAACGAATACAGCTGAAATTACGCACTCCCATAAGACCGTGTGGCTGATGGGATGTGTAAAAATACATACATTCTGTATGTAGAGGGAGAGATATGGGGAGGCAACGAATTGTCTTCATATTTGTGTTGTTATTTTCTCTACAATGACACGTGTGACGATTGTGTTGGATTTCTTGGAGAGCCTCTTGCAGAGTCTCAAAATAATTTTTCAAGAGGGTTTTGATACATTCCGATGTTTGGCCAAAGCCTCTTTAAAGTTTAACGAGAGTTTGGCTTCGTGTTGGAGGTAAAACTCAGCACGCATTGTCGACAATAACACTCAAACGTCTGCACATATGGGCACAGCAACCCCCTCGCTTGTATTCAGTCCGGTGTTGTTTTGGAGTTTCACAAATCTCTGAGTGATCTGACAACCCTTGCCTCCTACGTGTGTTTCATCGTCGCCCTCCTCCACCGTTCCTCGCTGCCCAACAATAAAGGCGTTCACCTTAATACAACGCGGCTCACCCAACACCTAACCCTTGAAACAACGCGGCTCACCCAACACGATCCATCTCGGTGCCACGGCAGGGCAGAGGCGGCGCTGGGGATTGGGAGAATGCAGGGGGAATGACGCAGCCGCCTGTGTTGGAAGTTTGCTTTGTTGAACCAGGAGAACGCAAGAGACTGGGAGATTCTCGTTTGCAAGAGTAGTCCGACCTGGATCAGCAAAATCACCAAATCAATAACATAAAGTAAAGAAAATAGAAATCAAACTCAGAGCCAAACACCTGACTAGAAGGAATTCATATAAAATAATGTCACAAAAGTACTCTCCTACAAAAAAAACTTTAAAATCGTTCATAGCAAAATGTTTACAGAAACAAGTGCTGGATTTGATTACAGTGTACCGCTGAGGCTGACTGTGCAGTGGAAAAGGTGGCAGTCACAGAGTGGAGAAATTCTTCTGGCTTATCCTTGCATGATCCACCAATTCCTGTGTCCCCCAGACTCTTCTCCGTGGTGCTGGAGCATACGACCAAGGTGAACGATGGTGGAGGGGGGGCCGTGATGGCGAGCAAGGGGGGCGGCTTCGACGTCAAGGCCCTGAGGGCGTTCCGCGTGCTGAGGCCTCTGCGACTCGTGTCTGGGGTGCCCAGTGAGTGGTGGAGCCGTGTGTGGTGGTGGTGGAGTCGTGTATGGTAGTTGTGGTTGTTGAGCCATGTGTGGTGGGGGTGGAGTCATCTGTGGTGGTGGTGGTGGTGAAGCCTTGTGTGGTAGTGGTGGTTGTTGTGGTGAAGCCGTGGGTGGAGATGTTGATGGTGGAGCAGGTGGCATTATTATTTCATCAGCTGCATAACACTGCGTGGAAGCAACCCGGTCTGTTGCTCCACGCAAAGCTTCAGATCTTCTCGGCCAGTCATGCCCTCCCTTCTCTATGCCTATGAAACGTGGACCCCTCTAATGGAACATCTGCGCCAGTTAGAAACATTCAGGCAGGGCTCCCTCCGATCCATCCTGGGTTTAACCAGGCTGGATTTATGAGAAGCTTACAAATGAGCTCCTCCAGCAGGCAAGGCTGCATTGACTGGGTCATGTAGCCCAAATGACCAGCCACTGCATGCCCAAGCAGCATCTGTTTGGCCGGATAGAGGTGGTTAACGGGCACGACATGGGCTGGAGAAGAGATGGACTGATGCAGTACGTTAGGATGTGGAGCTGAGTGTTAAACTGCCTACGTGTTAAACTGAGATGAGTGGACTTGCTGATGACTGATACCAGCGGTGTCAAGAACAGCCTCTCTGGAGGAGGCCCTTGAAGGACGCTACTGGGCAGTTGGAGGCAGTCGCCCTCTAACAACAACGGAGAGCAGAGGAGCTACGCTCACAACAACAAGCGGAGCACTGGGCAGCTAATACGCAGTAAGGTGGCACAGTAGTGAGCATGGTTGGTGCATCTGCCAGTCATATCTGTCTGTCAACCCATGGCACCTGAGTGTATCCTGTGACCTCCTGTCAGTGAGCCTTCGACACTACATGTGGCCTCAAAGTGCACCTGGCCTGGCACAGGCATCGTGGTGATGTCACTGTCACTTAGTGGCGAAGGGCGGATTTTGGTATATTGGTATTGGTAGAGCCATGTTTGGTAGTGGTGGTTGTGGTAGTGGAGCCGTGTGTGTTGGTGGTGGAGCGGTGCATGGTGGTGTTGATTGAGCCGTGTGTGGTGGTGGAGCCGTGTTCGATGGTGGTGGAGCCATATATGGTGGTGTTGGTGGAGCCATGTATGGTGGTGGTGGAGCCGTGTGAACTCGTGTCTCTCTGCGCAGGTCTTCAGGTCGTCCTCAACTCCATCATCAAGGCCATGGTGCCTCTGCTGCACATCGCCCTCCTCGTTCTCTTCGTCATCATCATCTACGCCATCATCGGCCTCGAGCTTTTCATGGGCAGAATGCACAAGACCTGCTTCCTCAACTACTCGGGTGTGTGTGTGGGTCTATGGGTGTGTGTGTGTGGGTCTGTGGGTGTGTGTGTGGGTCTATGGGTGTGTGTGTGGGTCTGTGGGTGTGTGTGGGTGCGTGTACATGGGGAGCGATAGTGTAGCGGTTCATTAGCGCGCTTCGCTACAAACCCGGCGACCTGAGTTCGATTTCTGCTCATTGCCACACCAATGACGATTATCTGAATCGGTCCTGGGCCTCCCCTAGATCAACTCAGCATCAAATGCGTACACATCATACGTAGCCAACCGAGCTAATTGGAGGTAATGTGTAAACATCACCACGAGGGAGACAAATGCGGTCAGGCGTGGTGCTGGCCACCCACCCCCTCGTGTGCCGTGCCGGTCTTCGTAGGTGCACACTAACAGCACTTCCCCCAAAAGTATGTTAAGGCTATAGGGGGGATCTTTGGCTTTGTGTGTGCGGGAAGTGATTAGTCCACTGCACAACCAAGTATGAACCCGGCGGCCCAATTTAGATTTTCTACTCACAGCTGACATCAATGACAAATATCTGAACTGGTCCTAGAGCTTCCTTCAGTGGATTCAGCCTTTGCATTAGGACCTAGTACTGTGTGTAAGCACCAGCATTGGGGAGCCAAAGGCGGCTGGGCGCGGACCTAGCCACACCACCCCGGCATGCTCTGTGCCGGCCTTAAAAGCTGCTTTCGAATTTGGAGGGGTGAGCAGCCAAGGGGGTTCATGTGGAATAGCCGAGGGGGTTCATGTGGAGTAGTCGAGGGGGTTCATGTGGAGTAGTCGAGGGGGTTCATGTGGAGTAGTCGAGGGGGTTCATGTGGAGTAGTCGAGGGGGTTCATGTTTAGTAGTCAATGGGGTTCATGTTTAGTAGTCAAGGGGGTTCATGTGGAGTAGTCGAGGGGGTTCATGTGGAGTAGTCGAGGGGGTTCATGTGGAGTAGTCGAGGGGGTTCATGTGGAGTAGTCGAGGGGGTTCATGTGGAGTAGTCGAGGGGGTCATGTGGAGTAGTCGAGGGGGTTCATGTGGAGTAGCCGAGGGGGTTCATGTGGAGTAGTCGATGGGGTTCATGTGGAGTAGTCGAGGGGGTTCATGTGGAGTAGTCGAGGGGGTTTATGTGAAGTAGTTGAGAGGGTTCATGTGGAGTAGTCGAGGGGGTTCACGTGGAATAGCCGAGGGGGTTCACGTGGAGTAGTCGAGGGGGTTCATGTGGAGTAGTCGAGGGGGTTCATGTGGAGTAGTCGAGGGGGTTCATGTGGAGTAGTCGAGGGGGTTCATGTTTACTGGTCAAGGGGGTTCATGTTTAGTAGTCGAGGGGGTTCATATGGAGTAGTCGAGGGGGTTCATGTGGAGTAATCGAGGGGGTTCATGTGGAGTAGTCGAGGGGGTTCATGTGGAGTAGTCGAGGGGGTTCATGTGGAGTAGTAGAGGGGGTTCATGTGGAGTAGTCGAGGGGGTCATGTGGAGTAGTCGAGGGGGTTCATGTGGAGTAGCCGAGGGGGTTCATGTGGAGTAGTCGAGGGGGTTCATGTGGAGTAGTCGAGGGGGTTCATGTGGAGTAGTCGAGGGGGTTTATGTGAAGTAGTTGAGAGGGTTCATGTGGAGTAGTCGAGGGGGTTCACGTGGAATAGCCGAGGGGGTTCACGTGGAGTAGTCGAGGGGGTTCATGTGGAGTAGTCGAGGGGGTTCATGTGGAGTAGTCGAGGGGGTTCATGTGGAGTAGTCGAGGGGGTTCATGTGGAGTAGTCGAGGGGGTTCATGTGGAGTAGTCGAGGGGGTTCATGTGGAGTAGTCGAGGGGGTTCATGTGGAGTAGTCGAGGGGGTTCATGTGGAGTAGTCGAGGGGGTCATGTGGAGTAGTCCATGGGGTTCATGTGGAGTAGCCGAGGGGGTTCATGTGGAGTAGTCGAGGGGGTTCATGTGGAGTAGTCGAGGGGGTTCATGTGGAGTAGTCGAGAGGGTTCATGTGGAGTAGTCGAGGGGGTTCATGTGGAGTAGTCGAGGGGGTTTATGTGAAGTAGTCGAGGGGGTTCATGTGGAGTAGTCGAGGGGGTTCACGTGGAGTAGTCGAGGGGGTTCACGTGGAGTAGTCGAAGGGGTTCATGTGGAATAGTCGAGGGGGTTCATGTGGAGTAGTCGAGGGGGTTCATGTGGAGTAGCCGAGGGGGTTCATGTTGAGTAGTCAAGGGAATCCATTTGGGGTCACCAGGAGGTGTGATGTTTGGGTCTAAAATTAAGTCTTTATCCTGGATGTCCACGTTGTTCCACGCTCTGTTCACCAGCATTATTTTGTAGAACATAAAATAAAAGGATAAAAAAATGTGGGTGACCTGTCTGTATGTACCACCCATGTCCCTCCTTCTCCCATCCCCCCCCCCCCCCCCCCCCCGTACAGAAATGATCGCGGAGGACGAGCCGGCCCCGTGCGCGTACTTAGGCCATGGGCGGCAGTGCCACGACAACGGCACAAGCTGCCGCTCGGGCTGGGTCGGCCCCAACGAAGGCATCACCAACTTCGATAATTTTGGCTTCGCGATGCTCACCGTGTTCCAGTGCATCACCATGGAGGGCTGGACCGACGTGCTCTATTGGGTGACGCCTCCGAGATTAACGTCATTGTCACCGTCGTTACCATTACTGCTACTATGCTGAGTCTCAAGCCTCCAGTGCCCCTCACCTCATCACACCTCCCCGTGTCTCCGCTCACCTCCCCTTACCTCCCCGTGTCTTCCGTTCCCCCACCTCACCTCCACTATGCTCCCCACATCCGCCCTGCCCCCTGCTCACTTACCTCTGCGTGAGTCTTTAGCTCTCTGTGTAAGTATATAGGTTTTTATGAATATATGGATCTCTATGTGAGTCTATGGGTCTCTGTGTGAGTTTATGTGAGTCTATAGATCTCTGTGAGTCTATGGGCCTCTGTGTGAGTCTATGGATCTCTGTGTGAGGCTATGGATCTCTGTGTGGGTCTATGGATCTCTTTGTGAGTCTATGGGTCTCTGTATGAGTCTGTGGGTCTCTGTGTGAGTCTGTGGGTCTCTGTGTGATTCTATGGGTCTCTGTGTGAGTCTATGGGTCTCTGTGTGAGTCTATGGGTCTCTGTGCGAGTCTATGGGTCTCTGTGTGAGTCTATGGGTCTCTGTGTGAGTCTATGGATTTATGTGAGTCTTTGGGTCTCTGTGTGAGTTTATGTGAGTCTATGGATCTCTGTGAGCCTATGGGCCTCTGTGTGAGTCTATGGATCTCTGTGTGAGGCTATGGGTCTCTGTGTGATTCTATGGATCTCTTTGTGAGTCTATGGGTCTCTGTGTGAGTCTATGGGTCTCTGTGTGATTCTATGGGTCTCTGTGTGAGTCTATGGGTCTCTGTGTGAGTCTATGGATCTCTTTGTGAGTCTATTGGTCTCTATGTGAGTCTATGGGTCTCTGTGTGAGTCTGCGGGTCTCTGTGTGAGTCTATGGGTCTCTGTGTGAGTCTATGGGTCTCTGTGTGAGTCTGTGGGTCTCTGTGTGAGTCTGTGGGTCTCTGTGTGAGTCAATGGGTCTCTGTGTGAGTCTATGGGTCTCTGTGTGAGTCTATGGGTCTCTGTGTGAGTCTGTGGGACTCTGTGTGAGTCTATGGGTCTCTGTGTGAGTCTATGGGTCTCTGTGTGAATCTATGGGTCTCTGTGTGAGTCTGTGGGTCTCTGTGTGAGTCTATCTAAGACCAGATGGTGGGGATGAAACTCTCCGGGTAGTCCGTGGAGGTCGCCGCGCGTCTCCGGTGCGGCAGCTGTGGGCCCTGGCGGAGGGGAGGCTGCGTCGGTGGCTCTGGTGGTCACGGTGGTTCCTTGACGCTGCGACGGCTCACTCCGCGTGCCTCCCCGTTCACCTCCCTCAGATGCAAGACGCCATTGGCTACGAGCTGCCATGGGTCTACTTCGTCAGTCTCGTCATCTTTGGATCATTCTTCGTTCTAAATCTCGTCTTGGGAGTGCTGAGCGGGTGCGTTACTCACCTCTAACGAGGTGGTATCACCATCGTCACCGGATAAGTCGTCGGTGTCACCGGAACTGTCATGCTCATTGTGACTTGCTGGACATCTGTGGAAAAGAGCTTCATTACTCATCGGATTCCTCCATGATAAATGCATGTTCTGATTTGGATTCATGAGTGAATACTGTAACATCATCATTTGTGATGAAAACTGTGTCATTAACATCATCATCATCGTGGCTAAATATAACACGTGTGTTATGAGGCTGTGTGGTGAGGCTGTGTGTGATGAGGTTGTGTGGTAAGACTTTGTGTGATGAGACTGTGTGTGATGAGGTTGTGTGTGGTAAGGCTATGCATGGTGAGGTGGTGCAGAGTGCCAGAAGGATAAACAATAGAGGGCACAAGGTTGTGCATCGGCCAGTCAACCCATGGCACCTGGGTCTGTCCCGTGACCTCCTGCCAGTGGGCGTTCGATACTTCACGTAGCCTTAAAGTCCACATAGCCTGGCACGAGCACCGTGGTGATGTCACTGCCACTTAATAGCGAATGGCGGATGTTGTTGTGATTGATGACTCTGCGGGCAGCAATGCAGTATTAACCAGGCCATGTCGCCGCGCACTTACGGTGTGATTTCCTCCTCTTCCCCGCTCCTCCCCCCTCCTTTGTCGCCCTCGCAGGGAATTTTCAAAGGAGCGAGAGAAGGCGAAAGCACGGGGCGACTTTCAGAAACTGCGTGAGAAGCAGCAGCTGGAGGAGGATCTGCGGGGGTACCTGGACTGGATCACTCAGGCCGAGGACATCGACCCCGAGAACGAGGAGGAGGGCAAGGAGGAGGCACGCCTCGGTGAGGAAGCGAGGGAGCGAGGGAGGGGTTGTATGGGTGGTGGAGCAATGGCTCCCTCACATCATTGATGCGGTGGCAGAGCCGACGGGAGGGGGGGGGGGGAAATGAGGGTGATCCCCCCCCCCACCCCCCTTGGGACCACGGATATTGGTATTTTATCAGGGAAGATAAGTTGAATTGTTTATGAATGAAGGGCCCTGTTTCAAAAGATTACATCCAAAGCCAAAGCGATGTCCCCTCCAATGAGCATGGAGGCGGTACCCCGCTCCCATTTACACCCGTTAGCCAGTGCTGGAAGTTCCACATTCCTATTGCGAGGGCAAGTCTATCCATAGGACAACCACAAAGTGGTACTCACTTGATCAACTCCACATGGACGAGGGATGATGAGCTGAGTCAACCATGTAAACCAGGAGTTGAACTCTTGACCTTCCAACAGCGAGCTGCTCACTGCCACTGAGCAGCCACCTGGTCGGGTAAACGAGGGCAACGGAGCAATAACACGAGCAGTGACATTCCTCAGCAAATAGGCACGTGAGCATTTTAATTGGTGGGGACGTTTAGGCCTCGCGTGTGCACGTGGCCCCCACCCCCACGGCAGGGGTCCTGAAAAGTCCCCCAGCAGCAGTCAACGTCCCTCCACTCCCTCCCTCTCACCCCTCTCCCCCCACGCTCTGCCGCCACCACCACCGTTTGCTGTGTTGTTGTTCTACCGTTTACAGTCGTTTTGGGAAACGTCGTTGTTGGCTTAATGGGAGCGAGCGGCAAGAGGGAATGGATTCCACGACGGCTCTCAGAATGGGTTCGTTTGCATGACCGGTAATTACTTCAAGGTAGCTGGTAAAAAATGGTTCCCATTATTTTAGCGGTTACCCTAAATACACGGGCCACGTACACTTTGATGATGGCTGGTTGGTGCAGTGGTAACAGTTGTAGCGCCTCCGAGCAAAAAGTATTTGGGTTCAATTCCTGGGTCGGGCACATTTCTGCGTCGTGTTTGTATCTTATCCTCTGTTCTGCAGTGTGGTGAGTAAGTGGGTCATTAAGTGAGTGGGTGGGTAATTGAGTGAGCGGGTGATAGAATGAATGAGAGAATGGGTGAGTGAGTGGTTGAGTGGTTGAGTGGTTGTGTGGTTGAGTGGGTGATTGAGTGAGTGGGTGGTTGAGTGGGTGATTGAGTGAGTGAGGGAGAAGTGTGTTGTTGTGCCCAGCATTGGATAGACCACGTCTCATGATGACGGAGCGTGTGTCAATCACATGGCAGCCTAATCCACGCTGTGGTCGGATGAACTCGAGAATGTCAGGGCTTTGACCTCTGGGGGTGTTACTGCGCGCGAGGTGTGAGATATAATTAGTGTCGCCTGCAAAAAGATCCTTTTAAGAAGACACTTCCCCTCAATTAGGGTCCTGTAAGCGGCAGAGTGAACAGTATTTAGAGTGAGGTATATAGTGTCTGTGTGTGTGTGTGCTGGCTTTCATAGGTGCTCGCTAACAGTACTTTCCCTTACAGTCTGTGAATGCTGTATGGGGGATCTTTGTCTTTGTTTAGTGAGTGCAATGTGAGACAAAAGATTTGGTCATTGTGACTGTGACAGTGATTGGTGGGCAGACCCTCGGACTCCTAATTATCTATGCATTGTTGGCAAAAGAAGCATTCAACCATAGTACAGGTTTTTTGGGGTTAGATCGCATGAATATATAATATTAAAGCTTGCTTTTTAGGGGGCGGGGGGAGCAGTCCTTGGAAGGGGCTCGCAGAGTACCTATAAATCCTGGCTGGCCACCCTCTGCCCTCCTTCACCCAACCATACCATGAACCCTCATTCTCCTCGCCCTGACCTCTGGGTCAGTCGAGAAATTGCATCCACACTCACCATCGAGTACCTTCCCTCTCTTTATATATGTGTCTAGGCCAGCTGGAAATATACGTATTGTATAGAAACTAGCAAGGAAAATTGAGGGAGAATGAGGGAGCAATCGAAAGTAGTTGATGAAGAAATATTCATTCTATCATCGTTATCATCAGCCATGGTCATTCCACTGATGGATGAAGGCCTCCCCAGCCACCACCATCTGTTACGATCTTGCGATATAACAAGCCACCCAAGAACTTATCTAATTGTTCCATCTCCTTGGTGGACTTCCTCTCCAGGCAGCCGATTCCAACAGGCGGAGCAGAGAGCTAATTGCTTTGAATATTTGAATTTGGTTCACAGGACACATTCTCATGCAAACAACTTTCAAGATTCTTTAATTGTCTCAGTTCGACAAATGATCTTTTATATTCTTGGTTCTTTTGGTATTGTCACGTAGAAGGGAAACAATAAAATAATAAAAATATATTGTTTCCCTTCTACGTGATTTGACCAAAAGAACCAAGAATATGAATCCCTGCAGTCACGAAAGCTTTAAATAAAAATTTCAATTATCTTTTGTTATTATTCTATGACCTTCCAACAATAATTCTGGTTCCATTGCGACTACTGTGGTGTTTGCGTGTGTGTATCTGTGTATTATCATCCAGGTTGATCAACTCATTATCCCTTCAGGGGCAATAGAATGCATACCACTTTATGGGGACAATCATCAGTGGTTTTCCTATGGATAAACTCACCCTCGCCATAGAAATGTGGAATTCCCGTCACTTGCTCAGGGCTATAAACAGATGAGATCTGCCTCAATGCTCATTTGATCAGATAATCACTTGAACTTTTTTTTGGCTTTATTTGTTAATAGAAGTTTGCATTCAGATAGGAAAGCAAAACTCTTCTTTTGAAGTTGGAGTGGTCTTTGTTCCCCTTACTGCTTCATTCCCATGCCCAAGAGGATTGGCCAAGAGGATTGGCCAAGAGGATTGGCCAAGAGGATTGGCCAATCCCAGCAGTGCAGCGACGTTCTTGTGACGGAGCCTGGAGACTCCGTAGCGAGATGATCAAGCAGGCACGATGCCTGCTTCCCATATCTATCCCTCCACATAAACGTACAATGTGACAGAAGTTAAACTACATACATACAAAATACATACATACAAACATACATACGTACAAACATACATACGTACAAACATACATACGTATATAAATACAAACATGCAAACATACACTACGCATGGGCCTGTGGGCCTATGCTCAGCAAGCATGTTAAAAAATTAAAACAATGTGGTTCGATGTGAAGTTTCATCTACGCATGGTTGGGGCAGTGCCATTGGCCATGATGACCTCTTGACCTTGACCTGCCGTGCAATTGTTAAATATCTGAAATATTTAAAAAAATGGCACGCTTAAGCCGTCAGCCGTGGGGGCATTTGACATCATCGCGCCCCACTGGAAGTTTGTGATTTTACTCTGACGAGTGATTGGCTTGGAATAGTCTTGGACGTGATGAGGGAAATAATTAATCTGTGGCCACGCCTCCACCCCCCGTACTCTCTTGCATCACCTCACCTCGTTGGTGAGATGGGTTTTGCCGATGGTGAGCAATGCATTGATGCACCCATAAAGCAAGTCGGTCCATTTTTTTTAGATGTGACATGCATTAAAAATAAGTGGTATTTTAATTAAAATATGTCACGTTCGTGTCTGTGTGCAGCTATTCTCGGCACATAAGCGTGAGTTGGTATATGATCCTCCTTTTTTTTTTTCAAATTAAAATATTTCACCTGGGAAATCCCTTGAGATGGAACATATTGTGTCCACGGTGTCGACTGACACGCATGGATCAAACACGTTATGGCATGGTCACACACATTTCAATGGTCTAAATAATAAATAATCATAATGATCATGATTTTGTTTCTGATTAAGCAGCCCTGCTTTACACCGGGGGTGGCGCCTCAGAGTGCGTTACACGAGATAGGCGACTTGCATTTCATCTTATCTCAACACGTTATAAAAGGAACCCCCAGTGGCAGCTGTCCCTGCGCAGAAATAGGTGACTCGACACCTGGTCTGCAAGCAGGCATTAGACTGCCAGTAGAGGGTGATGATTGCTGCTAAGTGTGATCCCAATTGAGTAATTTTCAGGTACATTTTTATAATTAGGCAAATTTGGACCGTGGTACCGCCATGCAGTAGCCTTCTACTCGCTTCAAATTGATGTTCCGAAATATTTAACGTCCTTTGTGAGTGAAGCAGTGGCGTATTTTATCGTTAATACAGCCACAGTAATAACTAGGGCGGCCTGCCAAATTCGAGCTGCGAAACTCTGCAACAAGCGGCGAATACGTTATCGCTGGGCCGTGGCGTAACCACTTAAAAAGTCTCATTCGCATTGCCCTCGGTGACATCGACTGGAGGCATCATCGGATGACATTTCACATCCCTGCATGAACGGTCTATGCGCAGCGTGGCTCATAAGCTCCGCTTGCCACGCTCTGGTCTATCACGGGGCAGCAGCACAGAGTCCTCAGCTAAACACAGTTCTTGAATTGACTCGGCAACATTTGTCACCCCCTTCTGAAAAATCTTCAGCAGGACCCTCATTAAAACGAGTCTTCAGACTCAGCGAGGCTTTGCTGGATAAGCAAGTGAAATAATCATTGCTCTCTTGCAGCATTTGCCCTTACAGTCTAAAGGCTTTCGGGGGATCGTTGTCTTTGTGTGTGCAGGGAACGGTAGGGTAGTGGTTAGTGCACTACACTCCGAACCTGGCGGCGTGAGTTCCTGGACCGCCCTAGGTCGACTCAGCCTTAAAAGAGTACCAAGTGCTTGGTTGAAATATTGCCACTGGGGAGACAAAGGTGGTTAGACGTGGTGCTGGCCACCCACCCCCCCGTGTGCCATGCCAGCCTTGATAGGTCCTCGCTAACAGCACTTGCCCCAATAGTCTGTTAAGGCGATACGCAGATCTTTGTGTGTGTGCGCCTGTGTACATGTGTTTGTCTCATGCTTGGGTACCCAGAAACATGGCAAGTGTTTGTGTGCGTCTTCCCATTGAAAATGTATACACGCGAATGAGCGCTCACGATAGCCTGGCCAGATTATTTCGAGGGCTGTGGCGTAAGAAGTGTCAACATTTTCTCGAATTGTCTCTTGAGGCTACACGAGGAATCTTGTTCTTTTTTTTTGCGTGCGACAGCCAGCGCCCCGGCGAGTGAGTCGGAGTCGGCCAACACGGAGAACGTGGGGAGCGGGGAGCTGGAGAGCCTCTCAGTCTGCGCCCGAGTCGTGTGAGTCTCGCGCCAGCCCAGACTTCAACACCACCGCCGCCAACACCGCTGTGGTCATTGTCGTCCCCTCCGTCGCGTCATTGTCTTGCGCTGTGAGCATGCAGTGTCGTCGTGCTCCCGTCCCAGTGGCTCATGCATGGTGGTGTGTTGTCTATGTCTTTACAGGCACAGAATTTCCAAGTCTAAATACAGGTTAGTCGATGGTGCCACTGCCTTAAAAACAGCACTCTTCTTAAGCAGACTGGCATCATGCATTCGCTTCTCTGTTCGTGGCCATTCTGTGTTCATGGCCGTTTCAAATCTGTATTTGAAGAGACAACCCGTCGCTCGGTAAATATTAATGCAGCCTGGGTAGCTCTGGCAACACACAGGAGGGATGTAGAGCATCGCAGGTGTAACAGCACGCAGCCTTATCCACACCCATAACTTGTCACCACCGGCGCGTTGGAATGCCCACATCTTCTCAACTGTTTGAGTTGGTGATCTAAAATGAAAACTCATTTCTTTAGAACTGCTTTTTGTGTTTAGTTTGTTGTCCTTCCCCCGCACCTTCGATTAGCACAGTTGGCTACGTACGGTGTGAAAGAAATTCAACATACTTACATATAAAGGTCCAATATTATTTTGAGCTGGTGGTCTAGACAAAGCTGTTGTACGCAATATGCTGCACATCTTTGTTTACTCATTGGTATTTTGCATTGGTATTTGGCACTCGGAGCGAACAAAGTTTTTTTTTATAGTTGGTGCTGACCCACCCCTACTGGACAACTGTCAAGAAGAGCTTCAAAGCTCACCAGATTCCTCCAGGATAAATAAATATTCTGATTCTGATGCAGTTGATCGCAATCGCTCGCTAATGAACGCGGCCGCTCGCTAATGATTGGCCGGATCGTCGTGAGTGGCGGCGCTGAAAATACGGAGGTTACACATTGTAATCGGTAGCCGCAATGGCGGGCGAATGGCGATGGCAGAAGCTACGATGTATTCATTCCGGGAGCGATTTCCGGTGTCGTTACGCAGCGATAATCTCACAGATTCCTTCTTCATCCAATCATATGAATCTGCCAGGTCGCCCTGGTCAATGCTGCCGTGCGTGTTAACTATAACAATGCTTTGCACCGCCTTCTTCACTCTCGCAGTGGATGTTGAACAACACCGCAAAGAACTCAATTGGGAAGCACAGAAATTGCCGGCCCCTCCTTAAAAAAATCTGCAGTGAGGCTCCCTGCATCAGTCAGCAAGTTTCTTCTTCCATGACCACTGATGCGGTGCTCATCTCCTGTCTCGAGCCCTGAACCAGTGATGGAAATTCCATATTCCTTTGGTGGGGGTTAGTCTATCCTTGGCCAACCACTGTTGGCATCTTTGCAAAGTTATACTTATTTTATCATCCCTGAAGAGATGGTGGACTGAGTCACCCCCAACCACAATTTAAACTCGCAACTTTCCGATTGCGATCTGCTCGCTCTACCACTGAGCCACCAGGCCTGATTTTCCAATTATAATTTGGGAATATTGACCTGTGACCTCCTTGAGCGGTGTTAGATGCTTTTATTTGTCCTATTTTCCATCTCCGCACACATTCAACACACACATACCAGCACCAGCCATCACCGCTCACTCCTTGCACACAAACGCAGAGACAAAGAATCCCCATATAGCTTTAACAAACCATTGGAGCAAGCGCTGTTAATGAGCAGCTACGAAGCCCAATATGGCACACGAGTGGGTGTCGAGGCCAGCACCACGCCTGGCCACCTTTGTCTCCCCAGTGCTGATGTGTACACATTGAGCCAGGTACTTATTTAAGGCTGAGTCCTCTCCCCGTGGGTTCCCGAGGGTGACTCGCCAACGCTCGCGATCTCTTTGTGAAACTGACTCACGTCCACTCCCCCTGTCCCGTCGCTCGCTGTCCATCGTGCCTGCGTGTGCACGTGTGCGTTTGAGCGCGTGTGTGTTTCTGCATGTGTGTATTTTTTATGCGCACATGCGCATGTGTTCACTTGTGTACATGTTTTTGTCTTTGTGTGTGCTTGTGCACGTGTCGGTACACGTGTCTGTGCGTGCGTATGCATACGTGTATGTACGTGTGTTGTATTCGTCTTCATATTCGTGTACCACCGTCTCCTCGTGTGGTGCACATGCATGCACGTTCCTCCCTCCGCGCCGAAACCACAGCCGACGGTGGCGTCGATGGAACCGCTTCTGGCGCCGGAAGTGCCGAGCGGCGGTGAAGTCGACGGCGTTCTACTGGATGGTGATCGTGCTGGTGTTCCTCAACACGCTCACCATCGCTTCGGAGCACTACGACCAGATGCAGTGGCTCACACACGTGCAGGGTGCCGCTCGCCAGCCACTGCACCGCGACACGCACACCTCACTCACACCTCACTCATGCCTCACTCACACCTCACTCACACTCAACACTCATACCACTCGCACACTCACACCTCACTGACGCCTCACTCACACCTCACTCACTCTTCACTCACACTCAACACTCGTACCACTCGCACACTCACACCTCACTCACACCTCACTCACCCCTCACTCACCCCTCACTCACACTCAACACTCGAACCACTCGCACACTCGCACCTCACTCACATCTTACTCACCCCTCACTCACACCTCACTCACGCCTCACTGACGCCTCACTCACACCTCACTCACCTCTCACTCACGCCTCACTCACGCCTCACTCACATTCAACACTCGTACCACTCGCACACTCACACCTCACTGACGCCTCACTCACACCCCCTGCATCCTTACTCTTTGGTTCTATTCGGTAAAGTCACGTAGGTAAAAAATAAAACAACATCCTGGCAACACACTACTTGTGCCTCACTCACCGCATGCAACTGCACACATTGCTTTTACATTTTTGTGTGACGTGGCAAGTCAATCTGTAATCCGTGCACGATTTTTTTCCTTCCTTGTGCTTTGTTATTATTCGTGTCTGGCCCCTTTGCGGCTTGCGCACAGACACGGCCAACAAGGTTCTGCTGGCGCTCTTCACCCTGGAGATGCTCGTGAAGATCTACAGCCTGGGCCTGCAGGCCTACTTTGTGTCGCTCTTCAACCGTTTTGACTGCTTCGTGGTATGTGGCGGCATCGTGGAGACGATCCTCGTCGAGCTCAAGGTGATGTCCCCGCTGGGTATCTCCGTGCTCCGATGCGTCAGGCTGCTGCGGATCTTCAAGGCCACGAGGTGAAGCGCCGTCACGCGCCGTCCTGCACCGACGCTCGCTCGACGCTCGCTCGATGCCACTCTGACTGAGCGCCTCAGGATGCGTGTTCTTGGCGTCACACGCAACTGAAAAGATTCGTTCTTGATGAGCGTTGGCGTGCACACAGTGAATACCTTCCCTAGCACCGAAACGTAACAATCACCGTAACCTTAACCTCAACCCTCATCCTAACCCTGTTCCTATCACTCTGCCTGTGCCCTCTTGCCCGGCCCAGGTACTGGAACTCTCTGAGTAACCTGGTGGCATCGCTGCTCAACTCGATGCGATCCATCGCGTCACTGCTCCTGCTGCTCTTCCTCTTCATCATCATTTTCTCGCTGCTCGGGATGCAGCTCTTCGGGGGCAAGTTCAACTTCGACGAGACGCAGGTCCGTCGCTCGTCCTTCGACAACTTCCCCACCGCGCTGCTCACCGTCTTCCAGGTGCGTGATAATGAGTGGGTCAGTGAGTGAGTGAGTGTGAGAGTGAGTGGGTCAGTGAGTGTGAGAGTGAGTGGGTAAGTGAATGGCTGTAAGCGGATGAGTGTCATGGTTAGTCAGATGCAGGGAGCTAAACGGGTGCAGCACGGGCAGAGAAGAGATGGGCTGATGTGGGTACAGCAGGATGTGGAGCTGAGTAGACTTGCTGATGACTGGCGCGAGCGGTGTCACGAATGGCCTCAGTGGAGGAGGTTCATGAAAGATGCTGTTGGGGAGTTGGAGGCAGTTGCCCTCCGGCAACAACAGAGGACAGAGGAGCAATGCTCACAATAATGAGCGGAATGCCGGGCTGATAAATCACAGAGAGTTGCAACAGTGGAGAGCACAGTTGATGCATCTGCCAGTCATCTCAGTCAGTCAACCCATGGGACCTGGGTCTGTCCCGTGACTGCCTGCTGCCAGCGGGCCTTCGATATTTTACGTGGCCTCAAAGTGCACCGAGCCTGGTACAAGCGCCATGGTGATGTCACCACCACTTAGTGGCGAATGGCTGCTGTTGTTGTGAATGTGAGGAAGTCTATGCATGTTTATGTGAGTGTGTGTGAACATTTAAGTTACATTCCTAGCTATGATGGCCACTGGTATTTCCTATGTTGACTCAGCCTAAAATCTGTAAGTGGTATTACGGTGTGATTACTTAACATCAACACTGGGGTCACACCATCCAGAGAAGTACCCATGCCGACCTTAATAGGTGCTTGCTAACATCACTGTTCTCTGGTCTAACCAGTCTTAAGAAGGATTTCGTTTTGGAGGTGTGCTTGATTTATTTGGTTTTCTGTGTTCTCAATAGAGCCAGACTCGTTATTAAATAAAACATTGGTAAGAATGGAAAACATTTTTGGCCTGCCAGAATTTCCTTCCAAGTGCATGTGTGTGTGCCTGTGCCCGTGCGTGTGGATGTCTTTGGGTGTGTTTGTGCACGTTTATATCTGTGTATGTGAGTGTGGGGAGCAGTATAATGTAGTGAACCGGTCCTGGGCTTCCCTGGGGTCGACTCAGCCTTAAATTAGTACTTGGTGCGGTGTGTAAAAATTAGCACTGGGGAGACAAAGGCAGCCGGGCGTGGCACTGGCCGCACTGCCCCCTCATGTGCTGTGCCGGCTTTCATAGGCCCGAATGGCCTGTTAAAGACTATATAGGGAATATTTGTCTTGAACTATATGTGCATATGTGGATCATTGTACATGGACATCTATGTGTGTGTCCCTGTGGATTTGTGCACCGATGCATATGCGTGCGGGTGTGCGCATTGGTGAGTAACCGCCCTCCCTCCACCCTCTCTCTCCTCCTCTGCAACTCACCCACCTCCTCACCTTCTCAGATCCTCACTGGAGAGGATTGGAACTCTGTGATGTATGATGGCATCAGGGCGTATGGGGGTCCTTCCTTCCCAGGGATGCTCGTCTGCATCTACTTCATCATCCTCTTCATCTGCGGGAACTGTATCCTGCCTCACCCCCAGGAAGGCCTCAAGACTCCTTTGCAGGAGAATCCTGCCAGGTTTTTTTGCAGTTGGGTGCAATGTTTCTGCCGTGTTTAATCCCAAGTGAGTCATTTTCAGGGAATTTTTCAGCATTGGGATGTTTGGGAGGAATCCGCAGAACCTCTGGGGTTGAAAAAACAAGCAACTCTTTGTGGAGAAGTCAATAGTGGCTGTCTGATGCATAGACTCACCCCTGCCATAGGAATGTGCAATTTCCACCACTGGTTGTAAACAGGAGATGAGCACCACCTCATTGCTCATTTGAGTAGAAACTTTGATCGATCGGTGCAGTTCAGTGAAGGCGTGAGCCTGCTGCTCGGCGTTAATATCCGAAAAGCGGCCATCGCTATCCAGGCGACTGCACCCATTGGTGAATCCCTCTGATGGGCACCACTTATCCCCAAAGCTTGGAGACCCGCGACAGGTCTCTAACGAGTCTGCACGGGACGTTACAGAGGGACGAGTTCGTAAACCCGCCGCCCGCCCGCAGAAACACGGATGCGCGGAATTAAATGATGGGTTCACTAAAAAGGCAGTGTGACCTCTTCAGCCGAGCCCTGGTTAAGACTCCACAGGAGCAGAAAAATATTTGAGCTGCAATATCAGGAAGGTCAACGCGTGTTTTTTTTTCTGAGCGACGCTGCGATGCGGCGTGCAGACATTCTGCTCAATGTGTTCTTGGCCATCGCCGTGGACAACCTGGCGGACGCGGAGAGCCTTACGTCAGCTCAGCGTGAGGCGGAGGAGGAGAAGGAGAGGAAGAAGATCGCCAGGTACGGGGGGCCACTATGAAACCTGTTGGTTTGGCAGTCCGAGTTCACTGCCGGTTCCCTCTGTGGAAACATCGTGATGTGGGAATAGGAACCGTTGTGAAAGTGCGAGTATGGCATACCAGCGTATATACTGCTCCTTTCCACACCTGGCCCAAGTACACAAAGTCCTCTGCCATAAGGGTTAGGGTTAGATGTAGGGTTGTTTTTCAAAAGTTGTCAGCCGTTCGGGTTCGACACAGTCAGTCCGGGATTGGCATCTGTGTTGGTGGCAGGAATTTATTTGTCCTGAGATTCTGGTACTGGTGTAGTTGTGTAGAACTCTGTTACAGCGAGCTGCACAGTCTTGATAGGGCTAGAGTGTTTTTGGGTTTGCTGTCTGGAAGAGGCGGCCACACTATGGATTACTCCACGAGAGAGAGTTTGGAATGGAAATCCTGGGCTTGTGTGTAAAAGCCGGCATGCATGGAGGGGGAGGGCGCGGGAGTGTCGGGTGTCACGAGAGCCCTGTCTGCCCAGAAGCGGTAGTCCCGAGAAGAAGCCCAAGGAGGAGTCACGGGAGGCCAACGGAACCGAGGAGATCATGGAGCTGAAGGCCATCACCCCGGACAGCACCACCAAGGTAAGCATGGTGTGTGAGTGTCACTCACCCCGGACAGCTCATGCTCCTTTTAAATGTTTTAGATGAGATGTGATGTAAGTCGCTTATCGAGTGTAATGCATGCTGAGATGCCCCTGAGTTTGACTCCCATGCACGGCTAACATCACTGATTGTATCTACGTGTGCGTTTCTATTTTTGGTTCTTTCGGTAAAGTCATGTAGATAGAAAATAAAATACAAATAAAAGACCGCTTGTTTTGTTATGGAAACATTGTGGGTTTTTTTACTTTTCAAATTTTCAATGTATTTTAATTTTAAATTTGTATTTAATTTAATTTAATTATCTTTTATTTTATTTTCTATCTTCGTGACTTTATCGAAAGAACCAAGAATATGAATTCCTGCAGTCATGAAAGTTTTAAGTCAGTGTGCGTTTCTGTTTGGAAGATTCCTCTGGATGACCCAGATGGAGAGGATGACAAGGAGAAGGACCCATACCCTCCCAGCGAGTACCCAGGTGCGCTTCGTGGCGAGGCATCCGGACGTCGCTCGCTGTCCCTAGCCAGCTGCCTAGGGACAAAATGTGTCTTTGTGTGTCTCCCTATGTTTGTCTTTTTGTCTGTATCTATATTTGTGTGTGTGTGTAGCAGTGGACAGTGGTGGTGTATCGGTTAGCGTTTTGTGTTACGAACCCGGCAACAAGAGTTAAATTCCTACTCAGTGACGATTATCTTAACCAGTCCTGGGCCTCCCCTACTTTGCCTCAGCCTCAAATGAGTACTTGGTAAGGTGTGTAAACATAACCACTAGCGAGACAAAGGCGATGTACCTGGCCACCCACCCCCTCGTGTGCCTTCCACAGTGCTCGCTAAAAACACTTGCCCAGAAAGTCCGTTAAGGCGATACAAGATATTTTTGTGTTTGTCTATATTTTCCTGTGTTTATGGATACGTGTGTGTCTTTGCCTTTGTTCATGGGAGAATACCAGAGAAAGGCAGTGGAAACCTATACAGAACAGGGGGAGAACATATAAATTCCACACAGAAAGGTTTCCTTGTCGAACCCAGGGCCTACTTACTGTGAGGCACAAGTGTTTTCACTGCCCTACCTTGCCGCATTTTGACTTGACAATGACACAATACATCAAAATATAAAAGCATGAAAGTTTAGTTTTGTTTAATCGGAAAAAACAGCTCCTGGCCACGATGCCGTCTGATGATCAACCGCTTGCGTGCTATTGTCATGATGCCCTCTCTGAGTTTAGCCAAGAAGAAAAGGCGCCATGTGTCACTTGTTTTGCCAAGAAATTTGTTGAGGTCCCAGGGCTGAGACTGGGATTACCGTCGCATTACTTTGTCTGAAGACTAACAGAGGCCCACACTCCAAGTTGGAAGCCTTCCAGTGGTAGTGCGGCGTTCGGGATACATTTGTCTGCTCTCTCCCGTGAGAGGGAAACTGAACAGAGCAGCTCTGTCGGAGACGACACGAGGTTTACAAATTCTCCGCATTTATGTCTCGTAGTCAACGTGTAAATCTGCTCCTGACTCTTTTGTTCCTGTGATCAAAGTGCCCGTTCCTCCGAAAAGTTGCAAATTCAAATCCTGATTCAAGGCTGACTCGGCCCATCATCATCTGTCCTTGGTCGACAAATTGAGCACAAACATGCGTTTGTGTTACATTAACAGATGTCTTCTGAATTGGTGAATCTCCACCATATAAATGTGGAATTTCCAATCATACCTCAAAACTGGTATCATAAATTGGCAATGCCCAGCACTTGTGTGGATGTATGGGACCACACAGACGTCAAAGGCATGGTTCACACACTGGATAGACTCGCCCCCGCTATAGGACTGTGGTATTTCCACCGCTGACTTTTTCTATGAAAATGGCGACCATTCCATTAAGATAGCCGAGACCTAGCAGAGCACTTAACTATCCAAATGCAATTTATAGTCACTATAAAACAAGACAAATAGGCGATTAAATCAGCCAATAAAAACACATCTTATTGCTGATACATTAAATGTAAGTAAAAGCCCCACTGAAGCAATGCATCGTCAAGCGTGGTATACAAATGGACACTGGGGTAGTGACCTGACTCAGGAGTAGCACAATCACTGCATTTTGCAGTGGTCCGTTGTTCAATTCCCGCAGGCCACCCTGGTTAATGCTGTGGTGTGCATTAAGCGAATGCAGCATCTGCTTCACAGTGGACGTTAAAGATTCCTTGACCTTTCACCGGCTTGTGTTGCGATCGAAACGTCGTGATATTTTTTATTATGTTTCTATCTATGTGGCTTTACCGAAATACCCAAAGAATGTGAATTCTTGCAGCCACGAAAGCTTTAAGTCAAGACTTACTCCGCATTAAGTTCACACATCGTCGTTTGGGCTGCATGAGGGGAGTGCCGGAGACGTGGCTTTTCCACCCGGACTCACGGAGACGGTGACCATGTGTGCTCGCCTCTGTGTGTCTGTCACGGTGGCGACGCCACGACACAGGTGATGACGACGAGAGTGAGCCCGAAGTACCGATGGGACCGCGTCCGCGCCGTCTCTCTGAGCTGCAGATCAAGGAGAAAGTGGTGCCCATGCCCGAGAGCTCCGCTTTCTTCCTCTTCAGCCACACCAACCCGTACGCCTGCCCGCCCACTCACTCGCTCATCCATCCGGTCGCCCGCCTGCTCACTCATCCACCCGCTCGCCTGCCTGCCCGCCTGCCTGCTCATTCACCTGCTTGCCCACCTGCCTGCGCATCCACCCGCTCACCCACTTGCTTACTCATCCACCCGCTCGCCCACCTGTCCCCTCATCCACCCGGTCACTCAACTGCTCACTCATCCATCTGCTTGCCCACCTGCCCTGACTCATCCTTCCGTACCCAGCCAACTCTCCATCCAGCTCATGCCAACCTTTAGCGAGTTTATGGTTCGATTGCCCACTGACTCCCCACCTGCCCATTCACCAATCCACCCACTAACCAATGCATCCTACTCCCCACCTTCATCCATCGGGTTGCCACCTGCATTCATTGGGTTGCCACCTGCCTGGCAATTGATGGATGGTGAGTGAGTTGGGGGAGAGGGGGGTGGGGTCAGGTCAGGTTGGGGAAGCAGGCTGATTGGGTGGGAGCGAGGGCATAAGAAGGGTTAGTAGGGGGCACCTGGGTGACAGATAGGGGTGAGGTATGTCGCTGAAAGATGAGCGAGTGGGAGGCTGGTGGATGAATCGAGTTGCCACCTTTTCCACTAACCAAAACCGGACATGTTTCTGAGTCAGCCTCGGTTAATACGAACTATACAGTACCTGTGATGAAGTTGAATGCGATACTAGTACCAGATCTTGGTACAAATCGATTCCTGGCACCCAAACACAGACATCAAGTTTCCAGACTGATCCAGACAGGTGGTAACTCTGTCAACAACTGTGGGAAATGTGAGATGTTTAAAATTATATACATTAAAAAATCTAAATAATGTGAAATAAATAGTCGCGAGATGTTAACAATGTTGGAGTTTTGTCACAGTTTCGTGCTTGGCATCGTCCGCAACGTGAATTATTTTTGTTGTCTGTTTCTGCTTCTGATACCGTGGCTTGTACAGGTTCCGTATCCTGTGTCACCACATCATCAACCACACCATCTTCACCAACCTCATCCTCGTCTTCATCATGCTCAGCAGCGTCTCGCTTGCGGCTGAGGACCCAATCCGCTCAACTTCTTTCCGCAACGAGGTAGGTGCCATCTGTATAATCATGATAAAAAAGGCAGAATTATTTATTATGAATATAAATTACATCAAGGTAAAGTGAGTTTGTTTAGGCCGCCCCAACGGGGGCCTTTCCTCGCGAAGGCCTTGAGAAGGCTGTGAGGGTTGGGGTGACAGACGGGCCATGCTGCGGTCACTCTGGCGGCACAATACAGCAAAGGGCCGACTCAAGACGGCCCAACGACGGTCCCTGCTCAGAGCCCAGCGCTGGCTCAAGGTTCAAGGCTGCCGGAAAAAGCAGTTGGTTAAAACGCATTCCGTTTTGGTTGTGGGGAGAGCAGTAAATAAACAAGGGTCCCATAATAGCAGCGTTGTCTGGGCAACCGCAACAACTTACGTTTTTTTACGGCTGGGGAATGTGGTGGGCAAGCACACTCCCCACAAAGACAAAGGATCCCCAGTAAAGCCTTCGCAGAATGTTGTGCTGTAAGTGAGCACCTGTGAGGGCCAACACGGTGCAAGAGCGGGTTGGGTGGCCAGCACCATGACAGAACCATGCCTGGCCACCTTTGTCTCCCCAATACTGATGTTTGCACATCGCACCAGGTCGTCATTTAAGGTTGAGTCGACCTAGCTGAGGCCCAAGACGGGTTCAGATATGCGTTACCGATGTTGGCTGTGAGCGGCAATCGAACTCAGGTCACCGGGTCAAGAACACAGTGTGTTAACCGCTGTGCCACCGCTCCCCCGCCCCGCCAACAGCCCACCCACGCACACGTGCAAGTGCACACGCTCGATACAACACGAGCATTTCCTGGTTACTTCTGCGAGTTAGCTTAGATTTACACTCTCAAGACTTAAGGATGTAACCTCGCACTCTGCCTGTACTCAGGTCACACTCACAGGCAAAACCTGCTGTCATTATTTAAGTAATAATATTAATGTTTGCGTTAATATGGTGCTTACAAAGGACCGTAGATCACATGTCATCTCAAGCGTTCAAAGAGCAGCCCGAGTGGCAGTGGAGCGAGGTGACGCACACCGGCCTGCCAGTGGGCATGAGTCAGCCAGTAGAGGAAATGGTGGCCATGTGAGCCTTAAATCAACGTGGAAGATATAAGAATGGATGCTTGAAAGGACATGCTTAGAAAATGAGAAAGATTTGCTGGATGTTGGGACTATCTCTCAGGGAAAGGAAGAGGAATGAAGAAGTGATATGGGGCAGTGAAATCAACTGGTGTGCAGCTGCTGGGTCGATGGATAGTTGCATCACGGAATCGCGAGAAGAGGTCGTGGCAGCTTTCAGAGGTCTTCATCCACCAGTGGATTGACCTTGGTTGGTGATACTCGAGTTGACGATGTTGCAAGTGTTTAACAAATGAAAACACGCAATTTACAGGCACCCCATAGGCCTTGCAACCCGCATGCGAGGTTCCAGATGGAAAACGCTTTAGCGGTGGCTACTAGAAATGAGGCCCAGCGGTGCCTGGTTCAGCGCTAGTTGCAGAGGTTTGCAGTTCAATGTGGCTGGCCATCCTGGTTCATTAGCACTGGCCGTGTAATAACTGTTCAGTACATCACCCGCGATCCGCCTGGCAATGGATGTGAAAGATCCTATGATGTAATTCTAAAAGAGTAGGCCATTGTGTGCCGGCGTCATGGTCAACATTTTTTTAATTAACTGCAAATTACTTGATATTACACACAGCAGCACTATCAGCTCCTCCTTTCAAACTACTGCAGACTGTGTCTTCCTTCGTGATCGCTCTGCGCTATAGAGAATGGCGTAAAGACCAAATCTACTCAGTTATAATCACGCGCTCTTAATCAGTAACATAATCCAAGGGTTGATTGTGCAGTTTGTTTATGCTTAGTTCATTGTATTGATGTGGAATGGTGGCGTTCGACACAATGTTTTCATACTTTGGCTTGTTTTCTGACGCGTATTCATACAGTACGCTGATACCGTTTTGTGTAGTAATGCGTCCCTATGTGTGTCTCATGTGGTTGCAGATCCTGGGCTACTTTGATTATGCTTTCACCACCATCTTCACCATAGAGATCATGCTCAAGGTAAAATGCCCTGGCATCATGTGTGCATTTGGCTTCTTCACTCTTTCCTGCTATTGGGTCCCGTGTCGCCCATGCTGTGGCTGGCGGTTGGCTGATCTCAGGGTTAAAGCCTAAAACACAAAATAATCACGAACGTCGCTGTGGAGAAAAACATACGCAGACAATCCATCACCTTCACAGATATGTCCCTGTACGTAAAAAATATAAGTATTTTTTTTACATCCATTAGCCGCATGGCCTTCTAGAAGTGCATTATTTCAGAAGTATTGGTTCAGCACAGTCAAATTCTGGACCGGTTTTGACGTTCATTGTCTCATCAGCAGAGTCAGGCTCCCTGAAAGCAATGCTGGTGACCTGCCAAATGTTTATAGGCAAGGACCATCTCTGTTAGATATGGATCCTAGTTGAAAACTGTATGAAACACAACACAAAGTAATCACTCACATTGTTGTGGTGACAGCTGAGGTTTAGACGACGCCGCCCTTGCCCTGATGTACCCCCTGCCTCCCCATCACACGCTCCCGGCCTGACAAATACACAGCAAAGCGTCTTCCTCGATGTGGATAAACCTCATCGTTTGATGTTGCTTTCGAAAAAAAAACACATCAGCCCCCCACCCTCCCATCACGCCACACAGTCGCCAATTTAACGTTCATTAAACGGATGATTAGGGCTGGCTCACGAGAGGGCTTGAGAGTGTTTGATGTTATCGCCAGCATCGCGCCTGCACTAGGCCTCATTTGCATGCAGCACGAGTGGATTCACCTGCACAGCACGCAATGTTTTTATGGCTTTTTTATTTATTTGTGACAACAGCCAGCAACCCTAATCATTGCCATCACCAACAACACTGCGATCATGATCACCATCACCACCATCATGGGCAGCAGGGTGATGCAGAGTGAACACTTGTGCCTTGCAGCTATAAGGCCCTGAGTTCGATCTCGGACTCTGTGGAATTTGTTCTCTCCCTGTTCTGCATGGGTTTTCTCCGGGTTCTCTGGTTTCCCCCCATAGCTCAAGAAATACCAGTCACAGTGTGACTGGTATTGGCCGGCCACCCTAATGCTAAAGAAATACCTGAAAATTACCCAATTTGGATTATACACACCGGCAACATTGCATGAAAGGACCCTCCTGAAAAAGTATTGAGACTCAGTGAGGCTATCCATCAGATAACAGAGATTGTTATCTGAGCAGACTCACTCCCACCATATGAGTACGGAATTCCCACCAATGGCTGCGATGCTCATTTGAGCAACTTAATCTGAAGCTGCTAAACAAATTAGACGGACATGGATACATGGGACAAAAAGCATACTTACGTATATAATAACTAGAAAGAGGAGAAGAGGCAGCACAGGGAGTCAACAGCAAGGATTGCTCGGGGAAGGGAGTTGCAGACACCCACCTATCTATCCACCAGTCTTTCCAATAACTTTCACACACCCACCTACCCACTCATCGATACACCTCCCGATCAACCCACTCACCAAATTGTACAACCACCTTCCTTTCCACCCACCTGCTCACCCACTTGCTTTTTGAATCCTCACCAGAAAAAGCAACTGCCACTACCACCGCTAACCTCATCACCTCCACCACAACCACCCTCACCATCATCCCCATCAATGTCACTCTGATTCCAGTACTTGCTGTGCCCCCCACCCACTTCCCCATGGCTCAGATGACGGCCTACGGCGCGTTTGTGCACAAGGGCTCGTTTTGCCGCAGCTACTTCAACCTCTTGGACCTGCTGGTGGTGGGAGTCTCTCTCATCTCCTTCGGCATTCAGTGAGAAGCACGTGTGTGTGCACGTATGTATACGTCTGTGTATGTGGACAGCGGTAATGCAATGGCTAGCGCGCTGTACTACGAACCCAGCGACCCGAGTTCACCAACACCATTGACGATTATTTAAAAAGGTCCTGGTCCTCCCCTAGGTCGACTCAGCCTCAAATGAGTACCTGGTATGATGTGTAATTTCTTCTGTATTGCGGTTGTTTTTGCCCTAATTTTTTCTTTGCTTCATTCCCATACTTGTTTTTTAGTTAATCTATCATTCGGATGACCCAGGCCACCTACCCATGCACCTAAACTGATCCTAGGCCTCCCATAGGTCGACTCAACCTTAAACAAGTACCTTGTGCAGTGTGTAAACATCGCCACTGGGCAGACAATGACGGTCGGGTGTGGTGCTAGCTACCCACCCCCTCGTGTGCAGTGCCGGCCTTCATAGGTGTTGCTCGCTAGCAGCACTTTCCTCAACAGCTTATGTAGGCTACACGGGGGAGCTTTGTCTTTGTGTGCATCTCCTCGCAGGTCGAGTGCCATCTCCGTGGTAAAGATTCTTCGTGTGCTGCGCGTGCTGCGGCCACTCCGCGCCATCAACCGGGCCAAGGGCCTCAAGGTGCGTTGGGAACGGTAACCGTGGTAGTGACGATAGAAGAGCGATAAGGAGGTGACCGTCCACCAGTGAGTGACTGAGTGAATTACTGAGTGACTGACTGAGTGCTGGATCGTCAATCACCCTGATTTAAAAGAAGTAAACACAAGGTTTCTAAGCACAGGCCAAAAGGCCAAAAAAGTCAAGCAACCAACAACAAACAGCATCATCAAAGCTGTAATCGATCAAGCCCATAATATTTATTTATTTATTGAGACAAATTATCGTAAAATACGATGATGGGAGGAGGGAATCTAGAATTAGATCAGAATATGGACTTATACTGGAGGAATCTGATGAGTTATAAAGCTCTTTTCACCACTGTCCAGTAGGGGCGGGTAATAACGTTAAAACAACAAACACTACAAACACCACAAACAATACAAACACTACAAACACGATAGCAGTGCAAAGTACAAGAAAGGTAAACAAATCACCCAAACACAAACAAATTCAACTAAAGCATCCCCATGCTACCAGGCAAAACCCACTGGGGTTTAAACTTAATAATTACAAAGTAGATCAGTGCAAGGGAAGCAGCATAAAGAGAAGGGTCGTTACCTGCAGTGTGGTGAGTGGGTTAGTGAGTGGGTGATTGAGTGGTAGAGTGAGTGAATATATGGGTGCCTGGTAGAGCGAGTGAGGGAGTGGGGTAGTGAATGGATGGGTGGCTGAATGAGCCTAGTCTATTTCTGAATTTGGCAGCAATATGGTTCAGGAGCTATATAGCAATGTCCAGGTCTGCTTGCCATGAACGGGCTTCAGGAGTGAGTTTGTGAAGATTTACCATTCTTCCATTGAATGAAAACAGACTATAATGTGGTTTACTTTATTGGTCCATGGTTTGGGGTGTATGGCCACAATCATACTGCTGTGGCTGTGTCTCTAAGTTTGCATCTATAAAGGAGCACAACGGCCTGTTGATGTTTTTACAGTGAGGGAAAAACAGTATTTTATCCCCTGCTGATTTTGTACGTTTGCCCACTGACAAAGAAATGATCAGTCTATAATTTTAATGGTAAGTTTATTTGAACAGTGAGAGACAGAATAACAACAAGAAAATCCAGAAAAAACGCATGTCAAAAATGTTATAAATTGATTTGCATTTTAATGAGGGAAATAAGTATTGGACCCCCTCTCAATCAGAAAGATTTCTGGCTCCCAGGTGTTTTTTATACAGGTAATGGGCTGAGATTAGGAGCACACTCTTAAAGGGAGTGCTCCTAATCTCAGCTTGTTACCTGCATAAAAGACACCTGTCCACAGAAGCAATCAATCAATCAGTTTCCAAACTCTCCACCATGGCCAAGAACAAAGAGCTCTCCAAGGATGTCAGGGACAAGATTGTAGACCTACACAAGGCTGGAATGGGCTACCAGACCATTGCCAAGCAGCTTGGTGAGAAGGTAACAACAGTTGGTGCGATTATTCGCAAATGGAAGAAATACAAAAGAACTGTCAATGTCCCTCGGCCTGGGGCTCCATGCAAGATCTCACCTCGTGGAGTTGCAATGATCATGAGAACGGTGAGGAATCAGCCCAGAACTACACGGGAGGATCTTGTCAATGATCTCAAGGCAGCTGGGACCATAGTCACCAAGAAAACAATTGGTAACACACTACGCCATGAAGGACTGAAATCCTGCAGCGCCCACAAGGTCCTCTGCTCAAGAAAGCACATACACATGCCTGTCTGAAGTTTGCCAATGAACATCTGAATGATTCAGAGGACAACTGGGTGAAAGTGTTGTGGTCAGATGAGACCAAAATGGAGCTCTTTGGCATCAACTCAACTCGCCGTGTTTGGAGGAGGAGGATGCTGCCTATGACCCCAAGAACACCATCCCCACCGTCAAACATGGAGGTGGAAACATTATGCTTTGGGGGTGTTTTTCTGCTCAGGGGACAGGACAACTTCACCGAATCAAAGGGACGATGGACGGGGCCATGTACCGTCAAATCTTGGGTGAGAACCTCCTCAGCCAGGGCATTGAAAATGGGTCATGGATGGGTATTCCAGCATGACATTGACCCAAAACACCCGGCCAAGGCAACAAAGGAGTTCAAGTTTCATTTATTAGGTATAGCCCTGTGAGCCATGCGGCTCTTAAGTCGGGTGCAACCGCAACAAACAAAATTTGAACAGAGAACATCTTAAAGCGACAACGCGTAACAGAAACATTCTGGAATAAACCAGCAAATATTCCACACAAAAAAAGTATTTAAACGCTGTGTGCAAAAATCAATGTGGTGCAAGCCAACAACAACAACCATAAGACAATTTGGATTAACCATATGTTTTCGAATCACCAAAATAAAGCTAAACAAAACAATGTAACAACAGTAATCATAGGAACTGTGATTTTAAATTTAACAATAAACGACATATATAACACGGACGACAAAAACTGCAGCCATAGCTGGCAGCACGACACTCCCAGTGTATGATGTGTGAGTGAGTCAGCAGCAGCGTTAGTGAGTGTATGATGTGAGAGTCAGTGTATGATGTGCGAGTCGGTGTATGATGTGTGAGCGAGTCAGCGGCAGGGTGAGTGTATGATGTGTGAGTGAGCCAGCACACGATGAGTGAACCTGTGTATGATGAGTGAATGGGTCAGTGGGTGTGCGAGTGTATGATGTGTGAGTGAGTAAGCGCATGATGAGTCAGTGTATGATGTGTGAGTGAGTAAGTGTATGATGTGTGAGTGAGTCAGTGTATGATGTGTGAGTGAGTCAGTGTATGATGTGCGAGTGAGTCAGTGCATGATGTGTGAGTGAGTCGGTGCATGATGTGTGAGTGAGCCAGGGTATGATGTGTGAGTGAGTCAGTGTATGATGTGTGAGTGAGTCAGTGTATGATGTGTGAGTGAGTCAGTGTATGATGTGTGAGTGAGTCAGTGTATGATGTGTGAGTGAGTCAGTGCATGGTGTGAGTGAGTCAGTGTATGATGTGTGAGTGAGCCAGTGTATGATGTGTGAGTGAATCAGTGTATGATGTGTGAGTGAGTCAGTGTATGATGTGTGAGTGAGTCAGTGTATGATGTGTGAGTGAGTCAGTGTATGGTGTGAGTGAGTCAGTGTATGATGTGTGAGTGAGCCAGTGTATGATGTGTGAGTGAGTCAGTGCATGGTGTGAGTGAGTCAGTGTATGATGTGTGAGTGAGTCAGTGTATGATGTGTGAGTGAGTCAGTGCATGATGTGTGAGTGAGTCAGTGTATGATGTGTGAGTGAGTCAGTGTATGATGTGTGAGTGAGTCAGAGTGGCTCAAGAAGAAGCACATTAAGGTCCTGGAGTGGCCTAGCCAGTCTCCAGACCTTAATCCCATGGAAAATCTGTGGAGGGAGCTGAAGGTTCGAGTTGCCAAACGTCAGCCTCGAAACCTTAATGACTTGGAGACAAAATCCCTCCTGAGATGTGTGCAAACCTGGTGGCCAACTACAAGAAACGTCTGACCTCTGTGATTGCCAACAAGGGTTTTGCCACCAAGTGCTAAGTCATGTTTTGCAGAGGGGTCAAATACTTATTTCCCTCATTAAAATGTAAATCAATTTAAAACATTTTTGACATGCGTTTTTTCTGGATTTTTTTTGTTGTTATCCTGTCTCTCACTGTTCAAATAAACCTACCATTACAATTATAGACTGATCATTTCTTTGTCAGTGGGCAAACGTACAAAATCAGCAGGGGATCAAATACTTTTTTCCCTCACTGTATGCAGTTGATTTCTTCGAGGAGAATTGTCAATGCCAGGTTGTGCGATGTTTGGGTCTTCAATGAGTTGTTTATTCTGGACATCTGCTTTGTGCCACTGTTTGCACAGCAGTGGTGACCGGTATCAGAAGTCAAATTTGAGCAACTGCAGGTCTGTGTTGCCTTTTGGGAAAATTGCCTCTAATTGTTCATGAAGCAGTTCACGCTGTCCGTTCTCGTCCTTTTCGACGAAGCGGGAGTCTGGGTCGTGGTTCTCGTTTCATCAGGCTGCATGAAACGTGCCCAACTCTTTAGGGTCGTACATACGAAAGGCGTTTTGTGCCGACGACCAGACCCCGAGTCTCGCTGCGTCTTTGCGATGTTTTGAGTAGCCCCACTGTGTGAGGTGGCTGTTGAATTTGCCCGCATCTATAGCCGGCTGAGTGGCTGCTGGCAGAGGTGTGGTTATGGTGGATGAGTGAGTTATTGTGACCTGCAGTATGGTAGTTGATCACAGTGTGGATGAAACAACACACTCAATCTGGTAGATCGAGTCCTCAATGTGGGTGAAGGAATCAGACAAAATAAATTCACGGGAACAGTAACAAGGAGATGACTGACCGACAGTTAGCGAGAACATGTGCAGATACAGCAGCAGCAGGATTTCAACATCTTCCGAGTTTGTGCTCCGTGCAGCAGCAGCGATAATTGTTTGGCGTGAATGAGGTTTTGATACGGAAAAGAAAACCAAGCATCTATGATGCTTCCTTAGCCATATGAGTAACACAGCCAGAAGAGTAACCCAGCCAGTAGAGTAACACAGCCAGACGAGTAACACGGCCAGACGAGTAACGCGGCCAGAAGAGTAACACGGCCAGAAGAGTAACACGGCCAGAAGAGTAACACGGCCAGAAGAGTAACACAGCCAGAAGAGTAACACAGCCAGAAGAGTAACCCAGCCAGAAGAGTAACGCAGCCAGTAGAGTAACGCAGCCAGAAGAGTAACACAGCCAGAAGAGTAACACAGCCAGAAGAGTAACGCAGCCAGAAGAGTAACACAGCCAGAAGAGTAACGCAGCCAGAAGAGTAACGCAGCCAGAAGAGTAACACAGCCAGAAGAGTAACACAGCCAGAAGAGTAACACAGCCAGACGAGTAACCCAGCCAGAAGAGTAACACAGCCAGACGAGTAACACAGCCAGAAGAGTAACACAGCCAGAAGAGTAACACAGCCAGAAGAGTAACGCAGCCAGAAGAGTAACACAGCCAGAAGAGTAACACAGCCAGAAGAGTAACACAGCCAGAAGAGTAACACAGCCAGAAGAGTAACGCGGCCAGTAGAGTAACACAGCCAGAAGAGTAACACAGCCAGAAGAGTAACACAGCCAGAAGAGTAACACAGCCAGAAGAGTAACACAGCCAGAAGAGTAACACAGCCAGACGAGTAACCCAGCCAGAAGAGTAACACAGCCAGACGAGTAACACAGCCAGAAGAGTAACACAGCCATAAGAGTAACACAGCCAGAAGAGTAACACAGCCAGAAGAGTAACACAGCCAGACGAGTAACACAGCCAGAAGAGTAACACAGCCAGAAGAGTAACACAGCCAGAAGAGTAACACACCCAGAAGAGTAACGCAGCCAGAAGAGTAACGCAGCCAGAAGAGTAACACGGACAGAAGAGTAACACGGACAGAAGAGTAACACAGCCAGAAGAGTAACCCAGCCAGAAGAGTAACACAGCCAGAAGAGTAACACAGCCATAAGAGTAACACAGCCAGACGAGTTAAGCAGCCAGAAGAGTACCGCAGCTGTTCCATGGCAGCTTCGATGGCATTGTTGTACGAAAGAACCACGTGTGATGCTGCTGACCACACACACACACACCTGTGTGTGTGGTCACCTGTGTGTGTGTGGTCACCTGTGTGTGTGTGATGCTGCTGACAACATCGCCTTGCTAGGCACGCTGAGGAGAGGCTTGCGGAGCCCCAATGCGGTTTCAGGAAAGGGCGGTCCTGCACAGATGCCATATTTTCTGTCCATCTGCTACAGCAGAGGTGTATGGAATTCCAACAAGACCTACATCTCTGCTTTATTGACCTGGTCAAGGCCTATGATACCATCAGTAGGCCTGGGCTCTGGGTTTTTCTTCGTGCTTTCAGAGTCCCTGACCCTCTGCTCACAATCATTAAGGACCTTCATGATGGTGAACGGGCCTGGGTAAAACTACGTGGCCAGGAGTCGGAGCCATTCCCTGTATACCTTGGGGTGCGACAGGGATGTCCTCTGGCTCCCACATTATTTAACATCTATCTTGACCAAGTAGTTCGTTAAACCTTCAATAGCTGTACCGGGGGAATTTCCATTTGGTACAGATATAATGGGAGGCTGATTGATACCCGGGTGCGGTCAAGGGATGGCTCCCTATTGGTCAACCACGTTATGTATGCCGATGATTTGGTAATAGCTGCTCATTCAGAGGAGGAGTTGGAGACGCTGCTGTTGAGACTGGAGCGTGCCACTAAGAGGTGGGGCCTTACCATCAGCCCCACCAAAACTAAGCACCTGCCTGGGTATTTTGTACCATCGGACACTCCACCTCCAGATCTCCCAATCGGTGATGGGGCAGTTGTGGAGAGAGTGGAGAGTTTCCCATACCTGGGCAGTGTGCTTATGACTGGCTCCAGTTTAACAGCAGAGGTCTCACTCCGAATCAGTCGAGCGGCAATATATTTTCATCGGTTGCGTAACGCTGTGTGGAAGCTACCTGGTCTGTCGCTCCGCACTAAGCTTCAGGTCTTCTCGGCCACGGTCATTCCCTCCCTTCTCTACGCTTGCGAAACGTGGACCCCCCTAATGGAGCATCTTCGCCGGTTAGAAACATTTAGGCTGGCCTGCCTACGATCCATCCTGGGTTTAACCAGGCTGGATTGTGTAAGGAGCTCACAAATACTTGAAATATCTGGGCAAAGTCCCATCGGTGTGCTCCTCCGGCAGGTAAGGCTGCATTGGCTGGGTCATGTAGCCCGCATGCCTAGCCACCGCATGCCTAAACAGCTTTTGTTCTGCCGGATAGAGGGGGCTAAACAGGCGCGGCATGGGCTAGATAAGAGATGGAGTGACGTGGTACAGGAGGACATGGAGCTGAGTGGACTTGCCGATGACTGGTACCAGTGGTGTCAAGATCGGCCTCTGTGGAGGAGGCTCATGAAGGACGCTACTGGGCAGTTGGAGGCAGTCGCCCTCCAACAACAACGGAGGGCAGAAGAGCGACGCTCACAACAACGAGCGGAGCGCCGGGTGGCTAAAGCACAGCAGGTTGGCACAGTAGGGGGCACAGGTGGTGCACCAGCCAGTCACCTCAGTCAGTCGACCCGTGGCACTTGGGTCTGCCCCGTGACCTCCTGCCAGCGGGCGTTCGACACTTCACGTGGCCTCAAGGTGCACATGGCCTGGCACAAGCGTCGTAATGACGTCACCGCCACTTAGTGGAGAATGGCGGTTATTGTTGTTGCTGCTGACCACACACAAACACACCTGTGTGTGTGTGTGTGATGCTGACCACATCTGTGCTTTGGCGCACGCCGCTCCAGCGCCCTTGACTCCAGCCCCGTGTCTCCGCAGCATGTGGTGCAGTGCGTGTTCGTCGCGATCCGCACCATCGGCAACATCATGATCGTCACGACGCTGCTGCAGTTCATCTTCGCCTGCGTGGGTGTTCAGCTGTTCAAGGTGTGGTGCTCTGATAACGCGCGTATAACTGCGGCATTATTTTTTTGACATTTTTCTTTGTGCTACAGAAGCGATGCCGTGAGAGGCGTCGTGTTAGAGGACGGCTCGTGGAAGTTGCTTTTGCAAAACTACCTGTGAATTAGACAAATTATTTGGTGATGCGTTTGCGTTGGGAGCGGTGCACAAGCACAAATAATAACAATAGTCAGCCCATTTGTTGAACACTGTGGCCTTGAAAGGTAAATATATACGTCTATGAGGTGACGAGCTGGGCAATGTCTTGTCCTCATAGCACATAGATGAGGTGTGCCACTCAAGAGATCCTTTCACCCTGGCACAGGCGGCATGCTTTTCACCTGTGCCTCACCAATCAATATGCTGCTTTTGTTCATTAATGTTGTAAACTTGGTTTGATTTTTGTGGGGGTTATTCAGAGTGAATGAGGGGGGCATGACCCAGGTTGTTGCTTCTGCAGTGTTTTCTATCCCCGATGTGACCACGAGGTGGGAGCAGAGCCGCACGGGTATGGCGCGCAAACCAAACCCCTGGCACTTTGGGTCAACAGCCACGAGGCGGCGCCATCGTCCCGGGAATATTCGGGATGATTGATATTTGTCAAGTGGCGCATTGTGCCCCGTAGGTCCCAATGCGTCGAGTATGGAAAGCAGGAAATCAACATAACCTGGATAAACAGCCATAACTCGGCAGTGAAGGCCGGTTTAACGATGCCATGCCTCTTATTCTATTACATGGATATGAAGCAGAAGATTGGTGCTGGATACAACGACATATGCAAATGTAGTCTGTAACTTTGATCCATACCCGTGTTTCGATAGTTAAATTTGAATGTGCAATTTTATTGAGGGACTTTGTGTTGTCTTGGTGTGGTCTGAGACTGTTTATTTTATTATTTTTCTGCCTTGCTCAAGCTTGCATTTAGTGTAAAAAAAATCGGCAGGAATTTATGTACTTGTGGAGTTTTTGTTTATATACTTTATGTATGTTTATTTCTAGTAACTTGCTTACCTTTTCTCCATTTTGCACGCCTATCGATATTTGTTTGTAACCTGCCCCTGATATTTGTTTGTAACCTGCCCCTGCTGGACATCTGTAAAAAAAAAACCTTCGTAGCTCATCGGATTCCTCCTCCAGTCGAAGTAAAGATTCTGATTCTGATCACCGGCTGCGTGCAATGGTGACTCGTGCATTGCTTTGACGCCTCCATACTCTGTGCTTCCAGGGAACCTTCTACAGCTGCACGGACGAAGCAAAGCACACGCCAGCCGACTGCAAGTACGTTGCACGTCACCATGCAGCGCAGCGCACTACGCATTGCTCACCACACTGACGGTACTCACCACACTCACCATACTGACGCTACTCACCACACTCACGCACTCCACGCAGAATTGATGCAGCGATTTCCCCACACTCAGGGTAATTGTACTGCCCGCCGCGCTCACACTCCACTTACACACTTTCCACCGAACACAACAGAGGCAAAGATCCCCCATATAGCCTCAACAGACTTTTGGGGAAAGTTGTTCGCGAGCACCTATGAAGGCCAGCACAGCACACGAGGGAGTGGGTGGCCAGCATCACGTCACCCTTGTCTCCCGAGTAGCGATGTTTACACACTGCACCAGGTACTCATTTGAGGCTGAGTAGACCTCGGGGATGCCCAAGACCAGTTCAAATGTTCGTCACTGGTGTTGACCGTGAGCAGGAATCGAACCCAGGTCGCCTGGTTTTGTAGCGCAGTGCGCTAATCGCTACACTACTGCTGCCCACAGTGACACACACTCACTACACTATTGCTCACCACGTTATCACACACTACACTGACACTCATACACTCCGTGCACACACGCTATTGGTAATATAGTGTTATCATTTGTAATATATTGCGTACATCTGTTAATGTTACGCAACAACTCAAGTCTAGTGTTGGTGAATTGGGATGAGATCTGCAGCATCGCTGATGGGATCGGAACCAAACTCGATCCAAACCAAGCCCTGCACCGCAATCACAGCGCCGCGGTCGCAGCGTGACTCTCGTGGCCGGGCTGTTTCCCAGGGGCCACTTCATTGTGTACAAGGATGGCGACGTGAACCAGCCGCTCACGAAGCGGCGTGTGTGGCAGAATAACGAGTTCAACTTTGACGACGTGCTCTCAGGCATGCTCACCCTCTTCACGGTCTCCACCTTTGAGGGCTGGCCCACGTGAGTGGAAAGAGGATCACCGTCACCGCACAATCAACCGCACCACACTACACAACCACACCGCACCACGCTACACAACCACACCGCACCCCACCACACAACCACACCGCACCCCACCACACAACCACACCGCACCCCTCTACACAACCACACTAAACCCCACTAGACCACAACCACACTCCACCGCAACTGCACCCCATTCCACTACACCACAACTGCGCCACACCCCATTACACCACACCCACTACACCACAACCGCGCCACACCCCACTACACCACAACCGCGCCACACCCCACTACACCACACTCCACTCCACCACAACTGCACCGCATGGCTGCACGAAGCGAGCGAGTCCGTGCTCACAGTGAATGCGTGCGTCTCCCAGGCTGCTGCACCGCGCGATTGACTCTCACGCCGAGGACGTGGGACCTATCTACAACTACCGCGTCGAGATCTCCATCTTCTTCATCATCTACATCATTATCATCGCCTTCTTCATGATGAATATCTTCGTTGGTTTCGTCATCGTCACATTCCAGGAGCAAGGAGAACAGGAGTACAAGAACTGTGAGCTCGACAAGAACCAGGTCTGTGAATGGGATGGGTTGGTAGGAGGGTTAAGTGGGTGAGTGAATTAGTGGGTGGGTGAGTGAGTGAATGGATGGATGGGTTGGTACCTTTTTACCTTTTTTAACACCCATCCATCTTCCTACCCACTCACCTACCCACAGAGGCAGTGTGTGGAGTACGCGCTGAAGGCTCGCCCTCTCAGGCGCTACATCCCCAAGAACCCATACCAGTACCGCGTCTGGTACGTGGTGAACTCCACCGCCTTCGAGTACCTCATGTTTGGACTCATCATGCTCAACACGCTGTGCCTCGCCATGCAGGTCAGCACTGTCGCTACCAAATCCACCACTGGACGTCACGACCACCTTCGCTATGACCGTCGCCACCACTATCACCATCACCACCATCACTATCATCCCTATTACCGTCACCACCACTATCACCGTCACCACCACTATCACCACCATCATCACCACTATCAGCACCACTATCACCACCATCACTATCACCGGCAACAAAGACAAATATTCCCCGTATCGTCTAACAGTGCTGTTAGTGAACACCAATTAAGGCTGGCACGGCACACGAGGGGGTGGTTGGCTAGCACCACTCTCGGCCGCCTATGTCTCCCTGGTGGCGAGGTTAACACATTGCACCGGGTACTCATTTGAGGCTGAGTCGACCTAGGGGAGGCCCAGGATCGATTCAGATAATCGGCACCGGTGTTGGCCGTGAGCGGGAATCGAACTAGTGTCGTTGGGTTTGTAGCGCAGCGCTCTAACCGCTACTCTATGGCTCCCCACGCTATCACCACCATCACTATCACCCCACCACCACTATCACAGCCATCAATACCACCGTCACCACCACCACCACCACTATCAGTGCTGACTGTGCTGGTGGCTGTGCTGCAGCACTACGGGCAGTCAAAGTCGTTCCGGGAGGCGATGGACGCGTTTAACATGCTCTTCACCGGGCTCTTCACTGCCGAGATGATTCTCAAACTCGTTGCTTTCAAGCCCAGGGTGAGCGCTGACACGGCACGGCGTGGCTCACAGCACACAGTGCAGAGCACACGGCTAAACCTCACAGCGCATTGCATGTCAGGCAGCATACAATACATTCAGCACGCAGCATGTTGCATACTATACCCTATGCACAGCACACAACATACCAGATAGCATGCTATACATGCAGATAAATATTAAACAGGATGTTGCACAGGACACACTACAGAGAGCAAAGCGCATCACATAGGATGTCGCATAGCATACACTGCATACAGCACATGCACATTAAACACTACACACAGCATTCCATACAGCATGCACAGCACAAGCAGAACACACCACATCACACAAAGCCTGCCACACACTGCACAACATTGAGAGGGCTGCAAAGCACACCATGCACACCACACCATGCACCGCACGCTGCTTGTGATGTACTCGACCTGCACACAGCTCACACTGCACTGCTTTGCTGCTCGCTTAAGTGATGTGCACGTGGATGCGTGCTACGGAGCAAGCGGGTTGCGTGCGCGTTCGTTGTAATGTGTAACCATGGCTTTACCATCAGCGGAGCTGGACTGGTGTGCATGCGTGCGTGCGTGTACGTTGGTGCGTAAGGGTGCGTGCAGGACTGGGGGAAGCATGGCACGCGACTATTTTATTTGCAAAGACGTTCTGGCGAATGGAGGTGTGCGTGCGTGTGTGTGCGCACATGTGCAAGTATAGCCACGCAGCACCTGTGTAAGACATGCATTGCACGTGTGCGTGTGCGTACCTGCGTGCATGTGTACCGGCATGATAAATTACCTACCGACGTTTTGCGTACCAGGTCACAAACTGTGTAACTCCGTTTCCATTGCCATGTCGCATTTCACACGGAAGTTATTTCAGTTCAATTCCCACGTCTGCCCGGTGCAGAAATTCCTGCTGCGGCGTTGGGACGCCCTCTCTCTGCCGTTAAGTTCAGACGTTGTTCGTGGGTTACCGTGTGCTGGGATCTCGGCCGAATGTTTTTACTTTGAGAAATTACTTGACACGCAAAAGTTCCAGCCATTTCCTGCTCAAATGGACAATGAGGCAGCACTCTTCTCCCTATTTATAGTGTTGGGCCAGTGGTGGAAATTCCCTCTTTCTATGGCTGCGCCAAGTCTATCCATAGGACCAACCACTGTAATTTTTTCTCCACAGTGGTACAAATTTCTCGACCCCAGAGGGAAGCACGATGGGTTGTGTCAGTACCCAGCCACGATTTTAACTTCTGAGCTTCTGATTGCGCGGCGCTCACACCTCCACTGGGTCACCTGGCTGATTACTGCATTTTATAAAAAGAGACTCATAACTGCGCGTGTCGCGCAACTAGAGTTGTGCGTGCGTTGGCACTTTGAGAAAAAGCCATGTTCTTGTGGCATTCACAGCGTGAAATGAGGTATCTCAGTTGACTTTGGAAGCTTTGTCATCTTCCCAAACACGAGTTCAAAAACAAGTCCCGCTAACAATTTTTCTGAAAATCGGTTTGGTAGATTTTCCGCAGACGACCTCACAACACGATGATTTAGATTCCATTTAAATTACGAGGATGTTGTGCACGTCTAGCGCAAAAAACTCCAAGGGCGTTATCATGAAACCCTCGCCAAGTTTGTTTGTTTAGATATTTCTGAGTTGGACTGTTTTCTTAAAAATTATCAATTTATAAGAATTGTCTGGGCATGTTCGCGCATGCATGCATTTATTGATTTGTTTGCGTGTTGCGCGATCGCGTGGCCGTGTCTCTGTCGCCTCCTTGAAGCATTGCTAATAGCCTGCATACCATCCATCCGGGTTTAACCAGGCTGAATTACATTGTGAGGAGCTCAAAGATCCTTGGAAGGATTTGGCACAGTTTGAGCTCCTCCGCCAGGTGAGGCTGGTCATTTAACCCGCATGCCTAGCCACCGCATGGCCAAGCAGCTTCAGTATGCAGCCCCCACCAATTGTGGTGCTCTCTCATTACATCACAAACTACATCAGGATTGATTTCCTATGACATCATCCTGCACCGTTATGTGAAATTGATGACGGTGCAATTGTTAATTGTAGAGATATCCTCCATCAGATGTTAAAGCTGTCAGTCAAGAGCTGGCTGTGTTGATGAGTCATTAATACATTCTCAACTGGTGTGTAATGGTTAATCAAGAGAAAGGGCATCTTGTGGACAATCTTGCAGTACAGGGATCCCTCGATTTATTAAAGTGATGCGTTTTAAAAAAAATATGTAAAACAAAATTTCGTAAATGGGAACGGCTTTTCCAGTAAATATAATACGAAAAATCTGGGATCTGTTTCTTAGTTATTACAACTCTATTCCTAACCTAAAAAGTATACATCATAATCACTTTTCATAATATCAGCATAAAAAAAAATAAAGAACATAAATATTGAAACGATTGAATAATAATGAATTTAAAACAAGAATAATTAACATTTTTAGGGATCGTGCCAAAAGATCTGCATGTTGGAGTGACTGAAAAGGTGATGTGGAGGAGTTACCGTTGCACTGCAGGCACACCTTGACGCTGTCGCGGATGGATGACGCAGCCTCTCGGATGGTTCTTGTTTGATGATCTCATGACGCAAGCCGTGTGAAATTTCATAAACGTGGATATTCAATTTCGTTAATCGACAAGTGTCCATAATTTGTCAATTGCGTGAACACAAAATTTTTGTAAACCGAACGTACATAAAGTGAGTGATAGCTGTATCTGCTCGAGGTCTGTGAGCCACTTCCCACGACCTTGCGCACACCGACGGTAGTCCGCAGAGCACAGGTTGGGAACTACTGGTTTATAAATAAGATAATAATGTAATACTAAATTTACTACGTTTGGTAATTGGACCGTTATTATAGCGCGAGGCTTTCACGAAGGATGAAAATATGTTTCACAGACAATAGCCTGCAGTCGTTTCGCAGCAAGGGCAATTAATGCAATGTGCAATCCCAATTAAGTAACTTGCGTTGTCATTTTTCTAATTTGGCAAACTTTAACCGTGGCGCTGGCACACGATGGTCTCCTATTTTTATAATTACGCCATGGGATCTTGGACGTCCACTGTGAGTGAAGAAGACAGCCCGTAGTAGTTTTAGTGAACAAGACAGACCGTGGTATTTTGAGTTAAGAAGACCGCCCGTGGTAGTTTTAATGAAGAAGACAGACCGTGGTATTTTGAGTGAAGAAGACCACCCATGGTATTTTGAGTGAAGAAGACCACCCATGGTATTTTGAGTGAAGAAGACAGCTCGTGGTATTTTGAGTGAAGAAGGCAGCTCGTGGTGTTTTGAGTGAAGAAGACCGCCCATGGTATTTTGAGTGAAGAAGACTGCCCATGGTATTTTGAGTGAAGAAGACCGCCCATGGTGTTTTGAGTGAAGAAGACCGCCCATGGTATTTTGAGTGAAGAAGACTGCCCATGGTATTTTGAGTGAAGAAGACCGCCCATGGTGTTTTCAGTGAAGAAGACAGCCCGTGGTATTTTGAGTGAAGAAGACTGCCCATGGTATTTTGAGTGAAGAAAGCTGACCGTGGTATTTTGAGTGAAGAAGACTGACCGTGGTATTTTGAGTAAAGAAGACCGCCGATGGTATTTTGAGTGAAGAAGACAGCTCGTGGTATTTTGAGTGAAGAAGACTGACCGTGGTATTTTGAGCGGAGAAGACAGCTCGTGGTATTTTGAGTGAAGAAGACAGCTCGTGGTATTTTGAGTGAAGAAGGCTGACCGTGGTATTTTGAGTGAAGAAGACCGCCCATGGTATTTTGAGTGAAGAAAACTGACCGTGGTATTTTGAGTAAAGAAGACAGCCCGTGGTATTTTGAGTGATGAAGACCGCCAGTGGTATTTTGAGTGAAGAAGACAGCTCGTGGTGTTTTGAGTGAAGAAGACAGCCCCTGGTATTTTGAGTGAAGAAGACTGCCTGTGGTATTTTGAGTGAAGAAGACCGCCCGTGGTAACTTGAGTGAACAAGACCACCCATAGTATTTTGAGTGAAGAAGACAGCTCGTGGTGTTTTGAGTGAAGAAGACTGACCGTGGTATTTTGAGTAAAGAAGGCAGCTCGTGGTATTTTGAGTGAAGAAGACTGCCCGTGGTATTTTGAGTGAAGAAGACTGACCGTGGTATTTTGAGTAAAGAAGATTCACCGTGGTATTTTGAGTAAAGAAGACAGCTCGTGGTATTTTGAGTGAAGAAGACTGACCGTGGTATTTTGAGTGAAGAAGACTGACCGTGGTATTTTGAGTGAAGAAGACTGACCGTGGTATTTTGAGCAGAGAAGACCGCTCGTGGTGTTTTGAGTGAAGAAGACTGACCGTGGTATTTTGAGTGAAGAAGACCACCCATGGTATTTTGAGTGAAGAAGACAGCTCGTGGTATTTTGAGTGAAGAAGACTGCCCGTGATATTTTGAGTGAAGAAGACTGACCGTGGTATTTTGAGTAAAGAAGATTGACCGTGGTATTTTGAGTAAAGAAGACAGCTCGTGGTATTTTGAGTGAAGAAGACTGACCGTGGTATTTTGAGCGAAGAAGGCAGCTCGTGGTATTTTGAGTGAAGAAGACTGACCGTGGTATTTTGAGCAGAGAAGACCGCTCGTGGTATTTTGAGTGAAGAAGACAGCTCGTGGTATTTTGAGTGAAGAAGACCGCCGATGGTATTTTGAGTGAAGAAGACCGCCCATGGTATTTTGAGCGGAGAAGACAGCTCGTGGTATTTTGAGTGAAGAAGACAGCTCGTGGTATTTTGAGTGAAGAAGGCTGACCATGGTATTTTGAGTGAAGAAGACCGCCCATGGTATTTTGAGTGAAGAAAACTGACCGTGGTATTTTGAGTAAAGAAGACAGCCCGTGGTATTTTGAGTGATGAAGACCGCCAGTGGTATTTTGAGTGAAGAAGACAGCTCGTGGTGTTTTGAGTGAAGAAGACAGCCCGTGGTATTTTGAGTGAAGAAGACTGCCTGTGGTATTTTGAGTGAAGAAGACCGCCCGTGGTAACTTGAGTGAACAAGACCACCCATAGTATTTTGAGTGAAGAAGACAGCTCGTGGTGTTTTGAGTGAAGAAGACTGACCGTGGTATTTTGAGTAAAGAAGGCAGCTCGTGGTATTTTGAGTGAAGAAGACTGCCCGTGGTATTTTGAGTGAAGAAGACTGACCGTGGTATTTTGAGTAAAGAAGATTCACCGTGGTATTTTGAGTAAAGAAGACAGCTCGTGGTATTTTGAGTGAAGAAGACTGACCGTGGTATTTTGAGTGAAGAAGACTGACCGTGATATTTTGAGCAGAGAAGACCGCTCGTGGTGTTTTGAGTGAAGAAGACTGACCGTGGTATTTTGAGTGAAGAAGACCACCCATAGTATTTTGAGTGAAGAAGACCACCCATGGTATTTTGATTGAAGAAGACAGCTCGTGGTATTTTGAGTGAAGAAGACTGCCCGTGGTATTTTGAGTGAAGAAGACTGACCGTGGTATTTTGAGTAAAGAAGATTGACCGTGGTATTTTGAGTAAAGAAGACAGCTCGTGGTATTTTGAGTGAAGAAGACTGACCGTGGTATTTTGAGCGAAGAAGGCAGCTCGTGGTATTTTGAGTGAAGAAGACTGACCGTGGTATTTTGAGCAGAGAAGACCGCTCGTGGTATTTTGAGTGAAGAAGACAGCTCGTGGTATTTTGAGTGAAGAAGACAGCCCCAGGTATTTTGAGTGAAGAAGACTGACCGTGGTATTTTGAGTAAAGAAGACCGCCGATGGTATTTTGAGTGAAGAAGACAGCTCGTGGTATTTTGAGTGAAGAAGACTGACCGTGGTATTTTGAGCGGAGAAGACAGCTCGTGGTATTTTGAGTGAAGAAGACCGCCCATGGTATTTTGAGTGAAGAAGACCGCCCATGGTATTTTGAGTGAAGAAGACCGCTCGTGGTATTTTGAGTGAAGAAGACCGCTCGTGGTATTTTGAGTGAAGAAGACAGCCCGTGGTATTTTGAGTGAAGAAGACAGCCCGTGGTATTTTAATTGATGTAGACTGACCGTGGCATTTTGAGTGAAGAAGGCAGCCCGTGGTGTTTTGAGTGAAGAAGACTGCCCGTGGTATTTTGAGTGAAGAAGACAGACTGTGGTATTTTGAGTGAAGAAGACCACCCATAGTATTTTGAGTGGAGAAGACCACCCATGGTATTTTGAGTGGAGAAGACTGCCTGTGGTAGTTTGAGTGAAGAAGACCACCCATGGTATTTTGAGTGAAGAAGACTGCCCGTGGTATTTTGAGTGAAGAAGACTGACCGTGGTATTTTGAGTGAAAAGACCGCCCATGGTAATTTGAGTGATGAAGACCGCCCGTGGTAATTTGAGTGGTGAAGACCGCCCATTGTATTTTGAGTGAAGAAGACTGCCCGTGGTAGTTTGAGTGAAGAAGACTGCCCATGGTATATTGAGTAAAGAAGGCAGCCCGTGGTATTTGGAGTGAAGAAGACTGACCGTGTTATTTTGAGTGAAGAAGACCACCCATGGTATTTTGAGTGAAGAAGACTGCCCGTGGTATTTTGAGTGAAGAAGACCGCCCGTGGTAATTTGAGTGGTGAAGACCGCCCATTGTATTTTGAGTGAAGAAGACTGCCCGTGGTAGTTTGAGTGAAGAAGACTGCCCATGGTATATTGAGTAAAGAAGGCAGCCCGTGGTATTTGGAGTGAAGAAGAACGCTGATGGTATTTTGAGTGAAGAAGACCGCCCGTGGTATTTTATGGTTGATACAATCGCAGTGCTTTTGTCTAACGAGGGCATGATATTCTTTGGGTCTTTCGATAAAGTCACGTAGATAGGTTCAAAGAAAATAACAAAAAACTACAACGTTTCGATCGCAACACAAGCGGTCATCATCAGGAAAAGTGGGTTAGCTTCTAAAGGCAAACTGTTTATAAAGGCCCGAAATGGGCATAGCCCAAATGTCAGCAGCATGGGCGGGGCAGCTAATGTTAATGTAAGTGATGGACGGCGACCGCGAATGTGGTGGTGTTTCCACCAATGAAAGGGCTGCAAAGTAAAAATTCCCATGTTCATGTAAGATCAGTGAGTGGCCTCCACGACGAGCGCGCTGAGGTGGCTATGCTAATGTGAGAGATTAGCATGTTAATGTGAGAGATTAGCATGTTAATGTGAGATCGCAGAGCCGCCGCCACGTCTAGGTCGGCGCTGTGTTGGTGTGAGAAATTTAACCTGTTAATGTAAAATGGGAGAGCCGAAAATAACTAACATCAGAAGGTGGCAGGATGGGAACATCACAGCCAGGTATGACTTAAACTGGTTGATAACGTCCTTCCAATGATTGATAAGTTTGTACCCATCTTCTTGGTTGAAATTGTGTCTGTGTCTGTATATGTGGATGGCTTCATGAACGACTCTTTATTGATAGCCAGTAGGTGTGCTAAGTACCATTGTCTTTGAGAAATCAATTTCGTGTGAGCCCACCTCATTAAAACAATGATCAGCCACGGCAGAGGTATTGGTCCTACCATGTTTCAGATCTGTCTTATGTTCACGAACACGGTCCGAGACATGTCGCTTAGTTTCCCCAATGTATCTACTGCTGCAGACACAGCTTAGTTTGTAGATGCCGGGGTATTACATGTCAGGGATCACTTCACAGATGGGATCAGATCACGAATTGTATGTACTGTGTTAAATCGAACCTGGATCTTGTATTTGCTCAAGATTTTGGAAATATTTTTGGTTACCCCTGCTATGTATGGCAAGGTGATGGTTTTGATTGTGTCCTCAGATGGTTCTTTTCCAACAGTTGGGGTGATAGCTTTACAGATTGTGTAGTCTGAATATCCATTCATCTTGAGAGCTTGAGGGCATGATGTTTATAGATGGGCCAACCAAATTAAGCTACTTTATCCAATAAGCCAAAATTTGGGGCATTATGTATTGCCTGGTGCTGGCTACCCTCCTGGTTTCATAGGCTATGCCATGAAACAATGTGGGAAAAGCTAAATGAGAAATCAACATTTTGTTGAGTTTTCCTGCACATCATTATTATAGTACATTTTTTAAAATAAAAACATAAGCCCTGCAGGAAAGGAACTGGAAAATAATGACCACATCTCAATTGCCCGCGGAGAGCTCTCCAGCACTAAAGAGACAATAACAACATTGCACAATGATAACAGTCCATCACTGGTGTGCGACAGTAATTGTTTATTGATTTTTATTTACTTGGGTGGGTTGGATACGCGCGTGGACTTGGCTACGGTATTATCATGAGCCCCAGCGGTGCCACCGTTACCGTTAGAGTGCCGGACCTCACTCTTGCCTTCATTGCAACGGTGATGGCACAGTCTCCCACGTGGCCCAGAACTCCAAGTATCATCCCTGGCTCGGCGGTGGAGACAACCGAGTCGCCGCCTCTCCTGCACAACCTACGGCACGTGGGACAAAATATGCAGGCGCATCCTTGTGAAACCCATATGCCTCCTTACATATTCGTCTTTCGACATAACAACTTATGCACATAATTATTATACATTCCATCAGCCTCACATCTTTTGATTTCATGATGGGATGTGTACAAAATATGTGCAGGACAAAAATATATGAAGCAGGCAAATTGTAAATAGCTATGTAGGTTTGACTCAGCCTATCATTCCTTCAGGGTCAATAAAATTAATATGGCACTTTATATGAAGTGGAGAGACTGACTCCCACCATGGCAATGTGGAATTTACACAACTTGCAGTAATTATTACAGTATTTATTTGTGTTTATAACCCTAACCCAACCTTACCCCAACCCTAAACCTAACCCAACCCTAAGCCTAATCCATTCCTAACCCAACCCTAACCCAATGCAACCCTAACCGAATCCTAATCCAACACTAATTCAACCCTAACCCATCCCTAAGCCATCCCTAAGCCAACCCTAACTCACCCCAACCCTAACCGAACCCTAACGCAACCCTAACCCAACCCTAACCTAACCCAACCCTAACCTAATCCTAACCCAACCCTAACCAAACCCTAACACTAACCCAACCCAAACCCAACCCTAACCCTTGCGACATAGACGCCGCCGCGCGATCACGCCACACGCAAATAACTAAATGTATGTGTGCGTGCGCTGCACATGCACATCAAATTCTTATAAACAGTAGATTTTTCAGAAAACGGTCCAACTCAGAAACATCTAAACAAACAAGGTCCCACCCTTGAAGTCTTCTCTACAAACCTGGCGAGTGTCGAAGATAATTCCCTTCTGGTTTTTGCGCTGGACATGCACAACATCCTCGTAATGTTCAACTGGATCTAATTGAGCCGTGGCAAAAACTACCAAACCAAATTTTGGCAAACTAGGTGGTGGGACTTTTATGCAGAGGGACGACAGAGCTCCTGTATTTCATTGAGATGTCTTTTCACCTGCATGCTATCATTGCCACAAAAATTCCAGTTTTACTCAAAGTACTAATACATCCGTAACATAGCCGCGCGTTCCACGCAGGTTCCGTGTATTTTGTAAGACGCCTTGGGGTTAATGTATTTGTAATGTTATTACGTTGAGTGTGGGGGCTCAAGGTGGCTGCCAAGCTTGTGTCCAACAATCTTTTGCAGGGACAGCTGATGAAATTTGTCACAAGACAAATGTTGCCTTGCGTGGGTCACATTGCGTGGTACACTGCGTGCGTCCCGCGTGCGGTCGGAGTGCGCTTACGTGTTAGGTGAACATGTCCAAGAGAAGCTGATCTGGCTGACTCCTTCACCTCTTCTCCCCCTGCCCCTCCCTCACGCAGGGTTACTTTAGCGACCCATGGAACGTGTTTGACTTCCTCATCGTAATTGGCAGCATCATTGACGTCATTCTGAGTGAGCTGAATGTGAGTACCGAGTGACGCGGATGAGGCTTCGTGGTGGTGTGGGGGGTGGCTGACTCCTCGGCCTGTGGGGCTCCCCAAGTGTTTGCTTCCATGTGGGCTCTAGAATGGGGGGGAAGCAGGGTGGTTGAGAGCAAAGCATTGGGATGTGAGCAGAAGGGCATTGACTCCTGGTGATAGCCACAAATTACAGAGTTAAAGCAACTTGTAGGGTTTCACAGGCTACTTTACGATTCATAATTGAGTTGTTTATTAATCTTAAACAGAGTTGTACATTTTCACCATCACTCATTCCCCACCGACCCTTGCCCGCGAGCAGCCTGAACCTGCTGTGGGTCCAACACCTCATGGAGTTGCTGCTCCTCCTCCCCTTCTACATCTGCATCATCCTCCACCTTCCTCATCCTATTCCTCGTCCTTCTGCTCATCCTCCTCGTGTTTCCCACTAACTGTGCAAATGTGTTTTTCTCTCTCGAGGGTTCTGTCTTCAGGCTGTGGATGATCTGACCAACCGTGTGTTCTCCGCAGCGCTCTCGCCACCTCACTGCCGCTCACAGCTCTGTTTTCTGGTCTCCGGCCTTGTTTTGTTGCTCGTCGCTTTGCTTGCCACCGCGACTGGGCCGCAGCGGCTGCAAAACGAAACGTTCGCAGGGCTCGTGGCGATTCCAATTCGGAGTGAGTGGGAGAAAGGGGGTAGCCGCGGCGTACGCCGGGGCGAGCTCTTCACCACAGGGTTGTTTTGTTTCAGAGCGCAGAGCAAATTCGCGAGTGGAGGTGGGTGCTGACTCCGGGTCCTTCTGGGGGGTGAGGGGCCGAGTGGACGACTCGGGGAAGCGCTGTCTTTCGAAATGCCCGGCGCTCACGAAGCCCACTGCCGCTCACCCTCCCCTCGCTCTGGAGTGACCGCTCTCTCGTTTTTATTTAATCTGTTATTCTTCTCTCTCTCTTTCTGTTTCTGCCCTTTATCTATTCTCTCATTCCCCATCACTGTCCCGATGTCTCTCTCTGTCTCTGTGTGTCCATGTCTCTGCTTCTATGTGTCTCCTTCTGTCTGTCTGGCCCTCTCACCCTGCCTGTATTGTGCTTTCTCTCTCCATCTCCCTGTCTCTCGCTGTCTTTCCATCTCTCTATCAATCTCACTGTTTCCATCTTTCTTTTTCTGTGTCTCACATTCCCTCTTCATCTCTTTGGCTCTTCCTGTCTCTGTCTTGCTGTATCTCTCCAAACAATGTCCCTCTTTCTTGCTGTATCTCTTCAAGCAATGTCCATCTTTTTCTCTGTGTCCATGTCTGTCTCTGTCTCTCCATTACTGGCTATCCATGTCTCTCCGTCTCCCATTACTGTGTCTCCGTGTCTCTCTGTCTCTATCTTCCTGGCATGCAGCACTATTTTGCGGATGCATGGAACGCCTTTGACGCCTTGCTAGTTGTGGGTAGCATCGTTGACATTGCGATCACAGAGATGAACGTAAGTAAGAGTGCCCTTCTGCCCTGGCCCCCATCCATCCCACGCACCCCCCCCCCCCCGCCGCTGCCTCACTGCCATCGCTGACCCATCTGCCTCAAAACCTTCCCACTGTAACAAAGCCAAAGCAGCAGCAATGTCAGAACCCGTCGGCACGCAATTGAAACTTTATTTGGGTATGGCACTGTGTGTGGCTTCTGCTGCTGCTGCTGCTCAAGCAATCTGCGTTCACTGGTGACACTTACCCTCTTGAGTCATTCTTTTTTGGGTTATGTCACTTGATGTCGCCAAATTTGTCTTGTGCAATCCTCTACCACCCAGCTTAGCTAAACAAATTAAATTGTCATGTGACCAAGCGTTCAACATGCTAATTACTCTTCCCTCAGCTCACCGATGAGTTGAAGACCAATTCTGAAGTGAAATGTCGCAAACCTAATTGCTAAATGTAGTTGTGAGAATTGTTCTTCAGCTCACCCAACGATACGAATCGGGGCGGTAAACGCTTGTTAACGTTACATTTTCATTCACTACATTGCCCAACCCAAAAGTCAATTATGAATCATAAATCTGCAAGTTAAATTTACTCTCGTGTTACATTCCCGTTCGTGATTGCTGTTCGTCTCAGTGGTGTAAGGAGATGAAGTGTAAGGGGGGGGGGGGGGGTGGACCCTGAGTGACGGCCGGTCATGGAGTCACACACGCGGCTGGGGCCCGGTACCAGGGGAACATGACGCTTTGTCTCACGCGGACTCGCGCCCGTCTGCTGCACACCCCCTGCTACTGCTGTCCACTGCTTCTTGCTTTGAGCCACAGACGCAAAAAACGTGATTCTCATCTGAGTCGCCGACAATCACTTTTGATTACAGTTATCCCTCAACTTGCGAGAGAGATGCATTTGTCCTTGAAAGGCGTTGCACATTTTAGTATTGAAACTCGGAATTACTTCTCCCATTAATTGAATACAAAAAATCGGGATGTGTTTCGGAAAGTCATTCCAGCTCTTCTCCTAAACTAAAAATATACACCCGTGTCACTTCTCACAATACAGAAATAATAACGAAGAACATAAATATTAAAATGATTCAATAATTAATTTTTAATAAAAGAGGATTAACCTTTTCAGGGAACTCACCAAAAGATCCGTATGTTGGAATACCTGGAAAGGTGATGTGGAGACGTGACTGTTGCACTGCAGGGATACCGTGACACTGTCGCAGACAGATGACGCAGCCTCCCGGGTGATCTCATGGCACCTGCCTTTAAAAATTTCGTGAACGCGGAAATTGTTATTCGTTCATCGAAAAGTGTCCATTGTCTATCAATTGCATTTATACCAAATTTCGTGAGCTGAACTATTGTAAATTGAAGGATACTTGTACTTATACGCATCATATTTCATCAGCAGCTGCCATGATCTATCTGCTACTGGATGAAGGCCTCTTCACACCTTCACCTTGGCTCACGGTTTTCCCATGCCACGTAATGTCCCGCTCGTGGTCCATCTCCACAGTGGTGTTGTTTCCCTCTTTTGGCTGCCATTTCATCACCGGTATTGTGCATAGTCCTTCCAGCGATGTCTCTTGGCCAATGACACTGAATGGTCCTCAACCACCACTATGATGTCTCTGTCTCTAACCTGCATTTTGCTCCCTGATCTGTGTGCTCCTCTCTGTTTCTCTCGGTGTAATTCCCAGCATGAATCTTCATTGCGTTTCTCTGTTCTCATTTCTCATTTCCCCTCATCCCATTCGTTCTGTCCTGGGGAGTCAAGAGCAGGAGAAGAGACATAACCACTGAAATGTGACCGGCATTGCTCTACGAATCGTGGTGGTGCCAGTGGCTAGTACTCTTGTGGTGTGGCCACATGCCCATTAGTAGGGTTGCCACCACTCTGGGAGTCGGCATCAGTGTTCGGGTGGCAGGAGTTGATATGTATCAAGATCTCGTACCACTCTAGTGCTGAACTTTATTGCAGTAAACTGCACGGTTTTGATTACATGGCTAGGCCGACTGAGAAACACGTCCGGGTTTTCACTGTGGGAGAAGTGGTGGCCCTAACCTTCGTTAGCCAGGATGAGGAAAGAAGGGAGAGGGAGGAGGAGGGTAAAAGGGACATCTGGTTGCTCTGTTGAACGTGGTGGTGCAACCTAAGACCCAGTGCTGTGTACGCAGGGGTTCTCACTGCCTTCCTGCTGTTTGTCTGTGGTTACGCATTCTACAACGTTGCAATCTGCATTAATAATGCCGTGTACAAATAAAACAACATTATTACTAATTTTTACTCAATTGTAACCAGACAAACACAAATTGGCAAATCATCCCAATGCAACAGGACCCTAGAGAGTTGAGACTTAGTGAGGTTCTCCTTGATAAGATGATGACAATAAATGATGAGTATTCGACTTAAGAATACGCAGACTTGTACTCCCTCATGCAATGTGACCACCACATTGCACGTACAATAATGCTCTCAGCCTCGTCTAGACCAACAACTCAAGAGCTGAACGTGCAACCGTGTGTTCAGACCACCGAATTAAGAATAATTGAATATGTGGACGTCCTAACATCTCTTCTAAACCCGGGCGAATATTCAGCTCTTGAGTTGTTGGCCTAAACAAGGCTGAGATCATTATTGACATGCATGTAAGGCGTATGGATGGGAGTCGTGCCCTTCTGCTATTTCTAAACATGACACCTTTGCTTGCTGCTAAATCTATGTGTTTCTAGTCTTCAGCATTCTCCTGCTGTGGTGGGTTTTCTCATAGATTACGCAGTGTCAGATTAAATTAACTGTTGAAATAATGAAACTTAAGTCCAGACTTCACAGCAAAGCCAGGGACAACCTGCTGTGCCAGGTTGGTTTGGAGGTGGGGGAGAGGCATTGTAGAGGAGCAAGTGAAGCGCACAGCCTCGCAGGGACGAAGGCAGAGGAATTCACACAGCAGAGTGTACAGCAGTGAATTAAAGGACAGTCGTGAATTTAAGTGCAACACTGTGCAGTGGTGAATTAAAATACATCAGAGCATTGCAGCTGTGAATTTAAGGGCAGCAGAGTGTGCAGCAGTAAATTAAATGGCAGCAGAGTGTGCAGCAGTGAATCAAAACTAAAAACTGTAAACATTTTTTTTTTATTTTACCAGGTAATGCCCACTGAGTTATATAGCTCTTTTCAGAAGCAACCTGGCCACAAATGAAAGCTCAACGAAGTGGATTATAGTTTGGAAATGTATCGCCGCCAAATATTCTAAACACATGTTTCTTAACATGGAGGGAAAAACCGAACAACCTGGAGAAAACTCCACGCGACCACGGGGAGAATACGCAAACTCCAACTATACAGCAGGCATTAGGGTCAGGATCGAACCCACGACACTCTGTATACATAATGAGGTAGTTGACATATCGGCACCATGGCACCCCAAATTAAAGGTCAGAAAAGTGTGCAGCAGTGGATTTATGGGCAGCAGTGAATTAAATAGTGGCAGAGAGAGCAGCAGCAGTGAAAGTTCAGTGCCGACCAGATAGTTGCGGAGAGACGAAGATTCATAGAGTGGGGTTAGGGTTGGGGGGGTGAAGGCGGTGTTTGAGGGTTAAGTAGAGGTGATGGACGGAGGGGATCCGTGTAGATGCCCCACAGCCCTTGGTGTCCGCCCTTGCCCCCTCCCGGTGAGTGTCGTGAGGGTCTGGCGGGCGTCGATGTGATACTCCGTGTCATGTGAAATGCTGCTTCTCTGAGAACCTGTGCTGCACATAGTCGTTCCAGCCAACCAGGGATTGACTTCAGTCGGGTCTGTCTGGGTTGGTGACACGCAATGCATTTCCACACCCGGCATATCTAGGATACAACATTCAGTGAACCTCTCGATATGGCTAATACTAGTGACGCGCCACCTAACCAATCTACTTGCAAACCGGAAAATATTCAGTCAGAAATATGACCCTAACCCAACCTAACTCTGTCCCCAATCATCACCAAGCCAATCCTATCTCCAAATCTATTCATATCTGTAACCCTAACCATGAACCAACCCCTCACACTGTTTTCAACCCTAGCCACATGTGACATGACGATGCTATTAGGCCGAATAAAACTGGACAATGAGACAGTTGGTGCATCATCGTTTCATCTCATCTAATCGCTGGTGGGCAGGGGTGAATAATTTCCTATCTAACTACCAGGCACATACCCGGTCCCAGCAGAAACTTAGTGCAGATACGTGGTCCCTCCATCGCCCAGCCCGGCCTCGACAGCAGCTGGGAGGTTCGCTAGCAGCAGGATTCTTTTTTCGGAGAAGTGGCGTCTCTCATGACAGCGTCGCCGGTGCGAGCCACCTCACCGCTTCCCGTTGTGTGCCGCCCCTTGTGTGCTGCCCGTGCTGTCCCTAAAGACGCCAGAGCACACGCCCCTCACGGAAGTCGCATTGGTAAGAACGTGCAACCCACAGCGGAGCCAGCGGCAGAGGCCGCCGCGTGAGCTGGCAAGCCAGGCCGTTAAGGGAGCCTCCTCAGTGTGTCTCTTAAAATTATTCTTGTCACGAACTCATGAGGTGAAGACGTTTGAATACTGAACTCGCATTGAGCAGTGCATCACCCTGTGTCAGGCAGACATGCAGATATTTCGCCTCCTTCCCATATCTGTCTCTCCACGTGAAAAGAAAAACATTTTTACACCTTCCAACAGCCATACAGCCTTCAGATTTGATGTGCAATGTCTCATCAGCAGTCAGGCTTGATTGAACCAATGTTTGTGAACTCCCAGAAAATCACATGGCTGATGGTATGTTTAAAAAATACGTTCTATATGTATTGTGGAGGGACATATATGGGCAGGATACGTTATTTGTTATGATTATTATTGAATCCGAGGGTTAGGGTCAGGGATCGGGTCAGGACAAGGGCACTGAGGATATCGTCGTTGCGAGGCTGAGGCTGCTGCTGCTGCTGCTGCCGCTGCTCACGTCGCCGTCGTGGTGCCTTCTGCAGAACTCGGGCAGCGCCGCCGAGGACAACAACCGCATCTCCATCACGTTCTTCCGCCTCTTCCGTGTGCTGCGCCTCGTCAAGCTGCTGAGCCGCGGCGAGGGTATCCGCACGCTGCTCTGGACCTTCATCAAGTCTTTCCAGGTGTGTTGAGGACGAGCAATTAACGGTTGAGTGGTTGGTTAACTGGGGGGGTGGGTAGCTGGGTGGTTAAGGCTCGTGAAGGACGCTGCTGGGGAGCTGGAGGCAGTCGCCCTCCAGCAACAACGGAGGGCAGAGGAGCGATGCTCACAACATCGAGCGGAGCACCGGGCGGCTAGAACACAACAAGTTGACAGTGGGGATTACAGGTGGTGCAACTGTTGTTGGTCAAGTCATTGAGTGGTTGGTGCAACGGGTGAGTGACTGTCGGAGTTGGTATCTAGGTTGGTGGGTGAGTTTGTAGATGGGAGCGTTAGTGGGGAGTGGTAGTGTCACAGCTAGCGCACTGTGCTATGAACCGAGTTTGATTCCCACTCATGGTCAACATCAGTGGCGAATATCTGAATCGGTCCCGGGCTTCCCCTAAGTCGACTTATCCCAAAATGAGTACCTGGTGTGGTGTGTAAACATCGCCACTTGGGAGACAAAGGCGATCGGGAGTGGTCCTGGCACCCACCCCCTCATGTGCCATGCCGGCCTTCATAGGTGCCCACTAAAGGCACTTGTATGTATGTATTTTGAACTTCTTTCGCACCATATGTTGCCAACCACGCTAATCAGAGGTGCGATAAGGGGATATTTGTCTTTGGATGATTCTCTGGTTGAGTGGTTGAGTAGTTGGTCACATAGGTTGGTGGGTGAGTGGATATGTGCATCATTCAATGATTGAGTAGAGGACCTGGAGCTCCGTTGAGTGGATGGGTGGGTTGATTGTGGAGTCCGCAAGTGGGTGGTTAGCTGGTCCATTGGTTGCTTGAGTTGTTGCTTGGGATGGTGGGCAGGGCTGATGTTGATTCGATGGTTGCTTTGTTGGTTGGGTGACTTGTTGGTTGGTTGGATGAATGAGTGGTGGTGGTTGGCTAGTTTGCAGGCACTGAGGGATTTGGTAGCTTCTTAGCTGGTGGCTCTGTTAGTCAGCTACCTGGTTGATCGCTAGTGTCGGTAGCCGTCTCTATAAACGTGGCGACTGCTCTCCTGCCCGCTCGCTCACTCGCTACCCTTGCCACGCACTTTTCCCCGCAGGCCCTGCCGTATGTCGCTCTCCTCATTGTCATGCTCTTCTTCATCTACGCCGTCATTGGCATGCAGGTCAGCATTTACCCCGGGCTCTGGGGCCTCTGCAAATTTCGCGAAAGTTTCTTTATGTAATACAAATTTAACACAACAGTGGCATCTTATGGAGCAACGCGTTGAGTGTGGTTTGTTTGCGCGTATGCTCCGTCGGAACAGATGTTCGGTAAAATTGCCATGCAAGACGGCTCGCAGATCAACAGGAACAACAACTTCCAGACGTTTCCGCAGGCCGTGCTGCTGCTGTTCAGGTGTCATGCACGTGCACACACAAAGACAAACACAGACTCCTGTATACGCTTCATAGACTATTGGGGCAAGTGCTGTTAGCGAGCAGCACCCATCAAGGCCGATACGGCACACAAAGGGGGTGGGTGTCCAGCACCTCGACTGGCCGCCTTTGTCACTCTTATAGTGATGTTTTACACATAGTACCTTCTTCTCTTTTGAGGCCGAATCTACATTGGGGAGGCCCATGACTGGTTCAGATAACAATTACTATGTGTCAGCTGTGAGCTGGAATCGCACAAGCACACATTTAACACACACATACTTGCATTGACGTGTAGTGCCGTGAATTCACTCGGACGACAACCGTCTCTTTTTCCGCCGTCACTTTTATTCCATCGTTCCGTACACACAGTAATTCTCTCCATGCTCCGCCAACTCGGACACTCCGATTTACTTCAGCATCGTCCGTGCATCCCCTTCCACACACAGTGTTCCTTCCTCTATCTCTTCAAACACAGTGTCTTCCCTTCCACACACATTGGGTCGTCTTCTATCTCCTCACACACAGTATCGCCGCTATCTCTTCACACACAGTGACTTTCCTTCCACACACAGTGGTTCGTCTTCTATCTCCTCACACACACAGTATCGCCGCTATCTCTTCACACGCAGTGACTTCCCTTCCACACACAGTGGTTCTTCTTCTATCTATTCACACGCAGTATCCTGTCTGTCTATTCACACACAGTGACTCCATCTATCTATTCACACACAGTGACTCCATCTATCTCCGCTAACGCTGACTCTCCCTATCGCTATTTACTGTCTTTGGGGTTCGGCTCTCTATCTATTCTTCCCTAACATTCCAGCTGTCTTCTTCGTATCTCTTCACCTCTCGCCAACAACTGCCCAGCAACAACTCTCCAACAACAACTCCCCAGCAGCAACTCAACTCCGTTCAAACCACCTCGCGTTTTATCCCCTTTCGCATTAGCCTTAATTAATTGCCACGTGGCTCGCTGGCCGTTTTCCGCCAGCTCGCACCTGTCCCCTCCATCAGACATCCAGACGCCACCACTTAACACTAACAGCCTCTCGACCAATCACAGCCCTCGTGCCACGACTCCCTTAATTACTTCGGGTTGTTTACGCAACCCGCGACTCGACCACCTGTTCGACCTCATGTGACCCGTTCTCCTTGTCTGTCTGTATGTACTGTATATGGCCAATTCCTATGCATATTGTTTACTCCACTACAGACGCACTGCGCCTCAAACCCAGCGACCAAAATATCGATTCTTAGTCAAGGATAAGATTAGTGTCAAATCTGAAAGCTCCCGGCACTGAACTAGGTCGACTCAGCCTGAAAGGAGTGGTGCGGTGTGTCAATATCACCACTGGGGAGATAAAGGCGACCCGGCAAAGATGTGATGCCTTGTCAACCTTCATAGGCGCTCGCTAACAGCACCGATGGCACTACGCTGGGGATCTTTGCATTGCCGTGCGTGTTCACGTGTGCCGCTGTGCCCCGGGCAGGTGTGCGACGGGCGAGGCGTGGCAGGACATCATGCTGGCCTGCATGCCGGGCCGGCGCTGTGACCCTGACGCCGACGCCAGCGTGGGCGAGGAGTTCTCCTGTGGATCCAGCTTCGCCATCTTCTACTTCGTCAGCTTCTACATGCTCTGTGCCTTCCTGGTACTGCCAGGCACTGCCAGCGGGTGGTGCCAGTGATATGGGTAGAGCAAGAGCAGTGGTTCTTAACCTTTACTGCATCCTTGCCTCCCTTTGGTTCTTAATCGTTAAACATTTTTAATGTTAATAAATGCATAGAGTTTAATGAAACAAAGTTATTGTACTTATGTCCCCGTGCTTAATGAGTTTTTTCGATGATTTACCTTCCAAAATAATCTGGCCATGTCTCGCACCCAAAGAAGGGGCTTCTCACACACAAGTTTAAGAACCACAGAGCTCGAGTATAAAGGATTGAGGTAGGGTATAGAGTCAGGGATAGGGGTATAGTTGGGGTTGAGGGGATCGAGGTAGGGGATAGAGAGAAGGATAGGGGTGTAGTTGGGGGATAGGGGATCGAGGTGGGGGATAGAGACAGGATATAACCCAATGCTCCTTGGATCATAGAGACGCCTTGACCCATATTCTGTTTTCTTCTCAAAGATCATCAACCTCTTTGTGGCCGTAATCATGGACAACTTTGACTACCTAACACGTGACTGGTCCATCCTGGGTCCCCACCATCTGGACGAGTTCAAGAGGATCTGGGCAGAGTACGACCCCGAGGCCAAGTGAGTGACCATCAATTGGCAACATACGGGGCCTAGTCACCCACCTTCTCCGATACACAGTCCACCCAGACAACATTTCATCTTCATAACCAGCCATGATTAATCCACTGCTGGATGAAGGCCTCCCCAAGCTTGCGCCATCTCTCACAATCCTACAATGCAACAATCCAACCAGCACCTGCACATGAACTGATATCATGGCTCCATCTCCTCGTTGGACGTCCTCTCGGACACGTTCTATTCCCTGGCTGCCACTCCATCAACCATTATCCCTCGAGACTTCGAGTGACAGTTATTCTGATACTTACTCAGACTCTGCGAATGCCACAAACACATGGAATTGCATTGCTTCTGTCCTGTCCTTGGTTGCTCTCCCACCTAAATTACAAAGTCATGTCAGCCTGTTGACTTTTGCGATAGCTTCATTTGCAGTTGTATTTAACTTATAATCCTTGTCTGTGTGTACACTCGTACAGTAATCACCCTAAGTCTGTTTCATATTTAATTATTGTCTGTTTACACATGAGTGCAATAATCATCCTTGAGTCTATGCGGATGATTTCTATTGCTTAATTTTACTACGAATGGTTTATCAAAGTTATTTGACTGAGCCAGTTTTTGTCACTGGAATATATTTGATTTAACATTTATTTATGTTGATGCAGTATTTTTAATTTATTCTGTAATCTGGTTGTTTTTACTCTGATTTCTGTTTGGTTTTTTATCTTATTTCTATAATGCCCACTGAGTTAACTGATGGTGTATATTTAACCATTAATACACCCACTACTAACCAGGGCGTCCTGTTGGACTAGAACCGCGAACCTCTGCAACAGGCATCGAGCACGTCACCGCGCTGGGTAGTGTCACCACAACTTAACACCGCGATGATGAGATGACATTTGTTTTGACCGATTTGACGAGATGTAAGTTTGGCAGCATGACCTCGCTCTGTGCGTGCGGCGACAGGGGCCGGATCAAGCACGTGGACGTGGTGACGCTGCTGAGACGCATTCAGCCGCCCCTCGGCTTCGGGAAGCTGTGCCCCCACCGCGTTGCCTGCAAGGTGAGCGAACCCGAATCTCGGTTTCCGCATGAAAAACTCCGACGTTTTTTAATTGGCAATACGCAATTAGACTGAAACGCCTCCGTGCTTACCGTACCACTCGACCGCTCGCTTCTCAAAAGACTGTCGACCTCCTGAGTTCTCGCTCGCAATGGCCGTCCCCTGCTGTGGGTGTTGCGACCTCTTGACCTCTATGCCACGCGCCACTGTCCCCCACAGCGCCTCGTCTCCATGAACATGCCTCTCAACAGCGACGGCACCGTCATGTTCAACGCAACGCTCTTCGCCCTCGTCCGCACTTCGCTCAAAATCAAAACGGACGGTAGGCAGCGCACAGCAGTCCCTGCCAGTATTCACCGCCGGTATCCTCCCTCCAGATCAACGGTTCATCTCTCTGCCACTCCTGTGCAATGACAGTTGAGTTTATTTCTCAGCCAAACATTTATTGAAAGCCTTTGATCCTATTTAAAGAATAAGTAAGGCTCACAAGGAACGAAACAGATTCTGGCCATCGCCTGATGAAGCTAGTTGTAATTACTGGCGACATGTCGTACTCAGATTGTAAATGTTGTGGATTTGCTCTCCAACACACCAGTGTACTGTACTAGTGACGAATTGACACGTTCTGTTTACGTAACAAACCTTACTAATTGGCTGTGGTGGGTGGTGGCGGGTTTGGCGACACATTTATATTTATACGATCTAACTCAAAAAACCTAAATTATGGATGACATTTATGAAGTAATTTATGTTGCAGGTGTTTGGGGCATGAACAGATATGTACGAGTGTACGTGCTTGCAGGAAACCTTGAGCAGGCCAACGAGGAGCTGCGAGCTGTCATCAAGAAAATATGGAAGCGGACAAACATGAAGCTCTTGGATCAAGTGGTTCCCCCTGCTGGAGGTGATTGCTGCTTGGCTGTCTGTGTGAACAAAGTGAAGTCCTACCAACTTCACATGTTGATTCCTCCTCCCATGTTGAGGAATCTGTCTCTAGCAGACTGACTGCTTCGCCTCATCTACCACACTGTTCAACCACCACACTGCAGCTCACAACAACTCACTCACTCACCCAACTACTCACTTCTCCACTCACTCAATCACTCATCCACTCGCACACTCACAACACTACAGGCCACAACAATTATCTTTCTGCGTCTTCCCTCGCACTGCTTCACCTTGGAATTTCCTCCTCCCATCATCATCGTCTCTTCTCTCATACTCTTACAATAACGTTACTTAATTCAAGCAACGTGTCAAGTCTTACGATTACAAATTCAACAGTTGCTGATTGTTTTTCACCGCATGAGATTTTTGGACTTTTGGGTCTGTGCCCAACAACTGCGTTAAACAATAATAATATTAATGACTGGTAACAGCAGGGTGCCAGATTGCATGGTGCTTACAGGCTCTATCTGCTGCTGCCCCCCTCCCCACCACCACACCCTTCTCACTTCCCCTGCTCATCCTCGCCTGCCCCCCCTCTCCCTGCCTCATCACCCTGGCCACCCCGTCGTCCGGCCATCACACGGCGTGCGTGCATCACATTGCCCTGTCCAGCAGATGATGAGGTGACCGTGGGAAAGTTCTACGCCACCTTCCTCATCCAGGACTACTTCCGCAAGTTCAAGAAGCGCAAGGAGCTGGGGGCACTGGGGATTGGGCCTAGGAACACCATCGCCCTGCAGGTGAGGGTCCAGTGAACCCCGTGTGAGGGCGAGGTGCAGTGGAAAGCGCGCTACACTACGAACCTGGCAACCACCAGCTTCAGTAACCAATATCTGCATCCGGTCCTAGACCTCCCCAAGATCAATTCAGTCATAAATGAGAACCTGGTGCAGGGTGTAAACATCAGCGCTGGGGAAGACAAATGCTGCCAGGCGTGGTACTGGTCACCCTACCTTGTCGTGTACCGTGCTGGCCTTGATAGGCACTCCCTATCAGCACTTGCCCCAACAGCCTCTATGGTGATTAGAAGCTTTCGTGACTGCAGGATTCACATACTCTTAGGTTATTTTGGTAAAGTAATGTAGATGAATAAATAAATAAATAATAGCTCACGACGTTTTGATCGCAACAACATTTGATCATCCTCGGGTGAAAGAGAGAAACATTCCTCTGTGACAAGGCATTATATATGTTAGCCGACTCTCTGAACTGCATTGCATTTCTAAATTTTGTTAAGTTTTATATCTAAGCTTCCTTGTCACATTTCTTTTCTCTCTTTCACCCAAGCCCTCTTTTAATTTTATCCCCACCCTCTCACCCCTTTGCGGCCTCCCCTCCTCCCCCCTGTAATATAATGCCTTGTCACAGAGGCATGTTTCTCTCTTTCATCTGAGGACGATTGCTAGTTGTCGCGATCGAAACGTCGTGATCTATTATTTATTTGTTTTACTATCTACGTGAATTTACCTAAATAACCTAATAGATAGCTTCTATGGTATTGTTTATTCGCTCAAAAAAGTTAAAGACAAACAGTGCAAGTAAAAAAAGGTAAAAAAGGTGTGCAGGTGAGGTCGGAAACCCAAGAGGGCTTATATGAAAACCACACCAAAAAAAAGAACAATGTATATACAAAATTAAACAAAGCATAGTTGTTTAATTGTATGGATATAAGGGTGGTCTTTGTCTTTGTTTTTATACTTGTATGAGTCCACGCATGTATGTAAACGATTTGTGTATATTTGTACACGTGCGTGTATGTGTGCACATACACGCATGCATGTACCCATGCGCGCGTGCGTTCGTGCGTGCGTGCATCACACAGGCTGGGCTAAGAACGCTCCACGACATGGGCCCTGAGATCCGGCGCGCGATCTCGGGGGAGCTGCAGGAGGACGATGACCTAGAAAGCGGCGCTGATGGCGAGGAGGGCATATTCCGGGTAATTATAAATTCCAGAAATCGGATGGTGCTTTTGGGCTGCCTGGCATGCACCGAGCGCACACATGCACTGTGGATTTTTGGAAATGTACTTATTTATCCAGGAGAGCCGCAATGTGTTGTAGGAGGGTCCTGCCACATTGGGTTTTTAGCTTAAAATGTGTGATGACTTTTCTAGATTTAAAGCTTTCGTGACTGCTAGGATCCATACTCTTTGGTTCTATTGGGTAAAGTCACGTAGGTGAAAATAAAATAACAAAAAATCACGACGTTTCGGCCACAAAACAAGCGGCCTTCATCAGGTGAAGGGACGAGACTGTCTGGAGGACAGCGTTGGAGTGAGAGAAGCCACGCTTAGATCACGACTTTTAAGCTGTGTGAGAAGAAAAACACAAAGCGCCTTGACAAAGGAATTAGCATATAATTTAGCATTGAAATGGCTCATTGAAATAGCTAAGTTAAAGTATACACATCCGCAGAGGTACCCCTTGACAAAGGAATTAGCATAGAATTTAGCATAGAAATAGCTGAGTGATTAGCTTGTAATTGGTCACAGAAATAGCTATGTTAAAGTCAGAGCATATACATTCACCGAGGCACCTAGTACTCATCAAACAGGAGAATTTAGCGAAACACAACCACGCTCAGACAGCGGACCTTTAAACTGTGCGAGCAAACAAGGTGTTCTGACAAAGAAATTAGCATAAAAATTTGCATTTGATTGGCGGATTTTAGGAAAGAGGTGGTGTACGTGCCGGTGGACTTGCCGTTTGGCGCGGGGGGGGGGGAAAGGGGGGGAAGGGGAGTTTACCTATTGATGGTGTGAAAAGGGAATTTATAAGAGCTGCGAAAGTTTGGGGTACCACTACTTGAAAAAATATACTGTACCATTGAAATTAGTTTAATGTTTAGTTCGATTTAGAACATCTTTCCAATGGTTGCTTAATTTGAAACCATCCTCTCGGCTGAAATTGTGTCTGTAGATCTGAATTGCTTCATGAACAAGTCTCTGATAAAAGCCCGTGGGTTTGCAAAGAACCTTGGTATCGGAGAAAATTATATCGTGATCCCCCACAGCGTTGTAACAGTGATCAGCCACGGCAGAAGAATTCGTTTTGCCGTGTTTCAAATCTGATTTGTGCTCGCGAATTCGGTCAGAGACATGTCGCTTTTTCTCCCCGATATAGCAATCACCGCAGGTACAACTCAATTTGTAAACCCCGGGGTACTGTAAATCAGGAATGACATCCTTCACGGATGGGATCAGATCACGAATTTTGTGTACTATTGAACCGGCCCTGGATCTTGTGTTTGTTTAGAATTTTGGAAATCTTTTTAGTAACGCCTGCTATATATGGAAGTGTGATGGTTTTGACCGGAGTATCAAGTGGTTGTTTCTGTATGGAGGGAGAAACAGCTTGGCGGATGGTACGGTCAGAGTAACCATTCCTTTTGAGGGCCAGGTGTACATGTTTTAATTCACTGGTCAGGTGGTGTTGGTCCGAAATGCAATGAGCCCTATAGTATAAAGTTTTGATGAGAGAATTCTTTTGGGCTGGGTGGTGGTGGGAATCAGGTTTCAATTAGGAATCTGTGTGGGTGGGTTTCCTGTAGACAGAATGCTCCAATGAGCCATCAGGTCTCCTCTCAACAGAACATCTAAGAATGGTAGCTTGCCATCTTTCTCCACTTCCATGGTGAATTTGATGGCGGGATGTCTGGAATTGATGTGGTGTAGGAAAAGGTTCAGAGCTGGGAGGCCATGTGGCCAAATGACGAAAGTATCATCCACATATCTCTTCCACAGGGAAGGTCTGAGGGTGGAAGTCTGGATGGCGTCTGATTCAAATTTATCCATGAAAATATTGGCTATCACTCACTGGTAATAAGGGGGATCCCATGGGGTACCCTCATTTTGTTTGTAGAAGGAGCCATTCCAAGTAAAGTAGGTATTGTTGAGGCAGTGCCTAACCAGTGCAGGTCTGTTGGGGTCTAGTCCATGTTGGACCAAATTTTCAATTATTTCAATGGTATCAGGTACTGGGACCTTGGTGAACAAAGAGACCACATCGAAGCTGACAAGGATATCGTCAGGGGACAGTACAACGTCTTTGACCATAGAGACCAATTGGGCTGAGTTAAGTACTGCTGAGGCGGTCTTGCCAGTAAAAGGCAGCAAGGTATCTGACAGAAAACGGGCTAGTCTATAGGTAGGGGAGTTGATCGTGGATACGATGGGTCGAAGTGGGGTGCCTTCTTTATGATTTTTGGGAAGACCATAGAATCTAGGGGGTCTTGCAGCAGAAGGTTTTAGGGAGGGACGTTTAGTTGGGTCGATTAGGGAGGTCGAACTTGTGATTATCTTGTTGGTTTTCATCGCTAGGCTATTAGTAGGGTCATTTTTTATTTTTGACTAACTTCCATCGTTGAGCAGATTCTGTATTTTGTTGTTGTATGAATCTTTATCCATAATAACAGTAGCATTGATATGATATCATCTCTCAGGTCGATGTAGCCCTCAAAGGCGTAGGACACATCCAAGCAGACGTTGCGAGAGCTGAAATAGCCACTATTCTTAAGAATGCTAAGAAACCCATTAGTAACATCAGCAAAAATGAACGCTCTGAACTCGCGAATTTAAAAAACAGAAGTGATATAGTCATCCTCTCAGCCGATATAGGCAACGCTACTGTTATTATGGATAAAGATTCATACAACAACAAAATCCAGAATCTGCTCAACGATGGAAGTTACTCAAAAATAAAAAAATGACCCTACTAATAGCCTAGCGATAAAAACCAACAAGATCATCACAAGTTCGACCTCCTTAATCGACCCAACTAAACGTCCCTCCCTAAAACCTTCTGCTGCAAGACCCCCAAGATTCTATGGTCTTCCCAATATTCATAAAGAAGGCACCCCACTTCGACCCATCGTATCCACGATCAACTCCCCTACCTATAGACTAGCCCGTTTTCTGTCAGATACCTTGCTGCCTTTCACTGGCAAGACCGCCTCAGCAGTACTAAACTCAGCCCAATTGGTCTCTATGGTCAAAGACGTTGTACTGTCCCCTGACGATATTCTTGTCAGCTTCGATGTGGTCTCTTTGTTCACCAATGTCCCAGTACCTGATACCATTGAAATAATTGAAAATTTGGTCCAACATGGACTAGACCCCAACACACCTGCACTGGTTAGGCACTGCCTCAACAATACCTACTTTACTTGGAATGACTCCTTCTACAAACAAAATGAGGGTACCCCCATGGGATCCCCCTTATCACCAGTGAGTGATAGCCAATATTTTCATGGAGAAATTTGAATCAGACGCCATCCAGACTTCCACCCTCAGACCTTCCCTGTGGAAGAGATATGTGGATTACACTTTCGTCATTTGGCCACATGGCCTCCCAGCTCTGAACCTTTTCCTACACCACATCAATTCCAGACATCCCGCCATCAAATTCACCATGGAAGTGGAGAAAGATGGCAAGCTACCATTCTTAGATGTTCTGTTTGAGAGGAGACCTGATGGCTCATTGGGGCATTCTGTCTACAGGAAACCCACCCACACAGATTCCTACTTGAAACCTGATTCCCACCACCACCCAGCCCAAAATAATTCTCTCATCAATACTTTATACCATAGGGCTCATTGCATTTCGGACCAACACCACCTGACCGGTGAATTAAAACATGTACACCTGGCCCTCAAAAGGAATGGTTACTCTGACCGTACCATCCACCAAGCTGTTTCTCCCTCCATACAGAAACAACCACTTGATACTCCGGTCAAAACCATCACACTTCCATATATAGCAGGCGTTGCTAAAAAGATTTCCAAAATTCTAAACAAACACAAGATCCAGGTCCGGTTCAATACAGTACACAAAATTCGTGATCTGATCCCATCCGTGAAGGATGTCATTCCTGATTTACAGTACCCCGGGGTTTACAAATTGAGTTGTACCTGCGGTGATTGCTACATCGGTGAGACAAAGCGACATGTCTCTGACCGAATTCGCGAGCACTAATCAGATTTGAAACACGGCAAAACGAATTCTTCTGCCGTGGCTGATCACTGTTACAACGCTGTGGGGGATCACGATATAATTTTCTCCGATACCAAGGTTCTTTGCAAACGCACGGGCTTTTATCAGAGATTTGTTCATGAAGCAATTCAGATCTACAAACACAGACACAATTTCAACCAAGAGGATGGTTTCAAATTAAGCAACCATTGGAAAGATGTTCTAAATCAAACTAAACATTAAACTAATTTCAATGGTACAGTATATTTTTTCAAGTAGTGGTACCCCAAACTTTCGCAGCTCTTATAAATTCCCTTTTCACACCATCAATAGGTAAACTCCCCCTCCCCCCCTTCCCCCCCCCCCCCGCGCCAAACGTCAAGTCCACCGGCACGTACACCACCTCTTTCCTAAAATCCGCCAACCAAATGCAAATTTTTATGCTAATTTTTTTGTCAGAACACCTTGTTTGCACGCACACAGTTTAAAGGTCCGCTGTCTGAGCGTGGTTGTGTTTCGCTAAATTCTCCTGTTTGATGAGTACTAGGTGCCTCGGTGAATGTATATGCTCTGACTTTAATATAGCTATTTCTGTGACCAGTTACAAGCTAATCACTCAGCTATTTCAATGCTAAATTCTATGATAATTCCTTTGTCAAGGGGTACCTCTGCGGATGTGTATACTTTAACTTAGCTATTTCAATGAGCCATTTCAATGCTAAATTATATGCTAATTCCTTTGTCAAGGCGCTTTGTGTTTTTCTTCTCACACAGCTTAAAGGTCGTGATCTAAGCGTGGCTTCTCTCACTCCAGCGCTGTCCTCCAGACAGTCTCGTCCCTTCACCTGATGAAGGCCGCTTGTGTTGTGGCCAAAACGTCGTGATTTTTTGTTATTTTATTTTCACCTACGTGACTTTACCCAATAGAACCAAAGAGTATGTGATGACTTTTGTTTAATATACACATGGGAGGAAACCGGAGTACCCAGAGAAAACCCATGCCTTGCCTGAGTGGGCAAAAATATACAAATATAATAATATAAAATAGAATAAAAAACAACATGACGTAAAAAGAATATATAATAAATAACTAAAATAGATTTTGGCGGCAAACTCTCTTCCATTGGACTGCGTCACCGCCACTATGCATCTGTCAGTACAAAGCCAATCCATAAATACACACGAACTACAACCCTGACTAATCTAATGCACATCCTCCCTTGTTGCACTCCGGTCTGGGGGTCTGTCCAGCGTTCTGGGGGGCTCTTCTCAAACCACGTGAGCTGCTACCCAGGCGAGCGTCGTGCCTCACTGCCCCAGACGCTGGCCACGCGGCGCCCTCTACAGATCCAACGTCCCCCCAGCACCCCACCACCCACATCGACCAGCCAGCTGATGGGCAACCACCATCACCACCATCATCACCACCATCACCACTCACAGCAGCGGCAGCCTGCCCCCCTGGCGTTTGCGAACTCGCATCACCCGAACGTGCAGACACAACAGACGCCGCAGACGCAGCAGACGCAGCATGACGGTGGAAGTTGTAGCAGAGAAAGTGACGGGAACAACCTCGCGGTACCAGAAGATTCGATTGACGACAACAACAACGAGGATGACGGCGAAGAAGAGGAGGAGGTGGCGGGTTGCGGCGACGAGGACAACGACGACGGCGACGACAGTGGCCGCGGGCGGCATTTGCCAGACGCGGACAACGCGGCGGCCGACAATCGTTGGAGCGAGCGTCACCCGCGTGGTTCCCCATCCAGCTCCAACTCCAACCTGAACAACAATGCGAGAGGCCCGTCGCCGCCGCCATCTCCTCCTCCGCCGCTACCGCCCCCTCGCTGCGTGCCGCCGGGCATCCAGGAGGCCCTGCTGCAGGTGGTGAGCACGGTGGCCTGTGCGGCCCGCACGGGGCCCGCGCCATCGGCAGGGGCAGGCGGCTGCGCGGGTTGCAGGGCAGCCGGGGCGGTGGAGCCCGCTGGGCGGAGCGATGTGACAGGTGGCAAGGAGGATGCGGTGACCATGCGAGGGAGTGGAGGAGCGTCACCGAGCATCACGGGGAGCTTGAGGAGGTGGGTCCACATTGGGACTCCCTCCCTCTCAGACATAATCATCTTGTGTACCACCTTTAAATGAGTGGCCAAGAGAATGGGTAGTTCATTGTGTAGTGCTTGTAAAAGGTGTAAATGCAACAAGGAATATATAAAACTAACCACAAAGTACATACTTATTAACTGGTAGGAGCTGTTAACTATGCAATAACGGGCACCAATAACAGTCATTCATTTAAATTGCATCTCAAAACGCTATAGATTTTGTACCACTCGTAGTTTCTATACATAGGCATGGCAAATCACAGGTAAGCGGGAAGGAAAGCAAAACCGGCAGTCCCAATTGCCCAAGCTCTGTGGTCCTATATTGGGATATATTGAAAACTCCATCATGACTGTTTATACACGTTGGAGGAAACCGGAGTGCCCAAAAAAAAACACGTGGGCACAAAATCCCAGTACAAATTAAATATAATAGATATGAATGCACTTGCAGACCGCTATTGAAAGTGAATTGGTTATGGCTGGGATTGCTTGGTTAACCTAAAACACCGATGTTTCCTGTGACTGCCAAATGCTTGCCATTCTGGGTTGCCAGGAGGCGGTACTATGAGGCTCTGATCCGGTAGGTACCCATGCCATTCACGCCACCCAAGCCCCCCAAATGCAAACCATGTCACTCACACCACCCCCGGGCCACCCTCATGCCACCCCACTGCCTCCGACACTTCCACACTACTTATTCTTCGGAAGCTACTGGAGGTATACACTTTAACATCTAAATGAAAACTAATTTATTTAGAACTGCTTTTTGTGTTTATTTTTATTGTCCTTCCTCCGCACCTCCGATTAGCACGGTTGGCTATGTACGGTGCGAAAGAAGTTACACATACATACAACATAGATTCCTATGCCACCCTCACGTCACGCTGTACACATCTGCCACCTGTGTGGCGAATGTTTGGATTTTCTATCAGACTCCACACGAGCAGCAACATCAGCAACGTTTTGTTTGTTTACCCGGGCGAAAGCACTCCCGGAGTCTCGACACTCTTATTTTGCCAATTTTACACAGTAGGGGGCGATGTTGGTTTGTATAAGAAATTTTAATTGCAATTTTAAGCATTGGTTGTTTAGTCAATATGTAGTGACATCGCGGATGTCAGTGTGTGGTGCCGGCCCTAGAGAGGCACGGTGTGCGATGTACTCACATCGCAGACATCACGTATGTAGCGACATCGTGACTGTCACTGAGTAATGCCGGCTCTAGCGAGGCACGGCATGCGATGCATTGTCATCGCGGGCACCCCGTAGGTGTGTGTAGTACCAGCCCTAGAGGGGGCTCGGTGAGTGCTGGGATAGCGCTCAGTGGCACCACGCGTGGCGTGCAGTGCTGAATCCTACAGGAGGGAGTGTGAGAGTGTCAGCCATGGGATGAGGTTACCCTAGGCCATGGCACTCTGGTTGACCCCGGAAGGCACGTGACTAGTAAGATCTACACAGGGGCCCCAGGTGGGGGCTTGGGGGTGGTCACGTGTCAGGGTGAGATCCTACGACAAGGGTCGAGAAACGACAAGAGGTTTCTCGAAGGTGGTCGTGGCCAAGGGCCGGCCAGCCACGACTCGGGAGCATATAAACCGGGTCCTCACAAGGACCGGGGTTCAGCGTTGCTGTTGTCATCTGAAGATCTACGTTCTACGTCCAAGAAGAAGCCACCAACACGTGGACGAGGACCCAAGCCAGGGTCCTGTCTGTTGTAGCTACTCCCAGTAACTAGCTTAGTTAGCCTGGTGGTCTACCACCATAGGTTATCTCGTAAAGGGGCAGTAACCCCTTTGTGTTAATGTGTTGGTGTTAAAAAATGTGTTTCCTCCAAAGAGTACGTCTGTGACTCAGTTGAATCCACTACAACGGGTGTTGGAAGTGGCCAAACGCTATTTTACTTAGCTAGCTGTTAGACTATGTCTACATGCTGTGGACTACGTACCAGGGCGTCGGACGATGAAGACGAAGATCTCATCCCGCAAACAGCCCAGGAGGATGGAGTTGAAGCGTTGCCGGCAGAGCAGAGCACCGTCCAGGCATGCGACTGCCCCACGCTGAAGGGGAGGATGCTCCAGGCTCGCAGAGCTCCTCCATGCCGCGATGTCCATTCTAGCGGAGCTCCATATTGCGGAGCCAGCGGTGGAAGCGCGAGCAACGGAGCCACTTGGGAACAAAGTTCCCGCCATTTCCCGTGGCGCAGCCCGCGCTTGCAGTTGCCATCTCCGAAGAGCATAGCGCGGGACCCGCCAAATCCAAAGTTGCGTCAAAATCGTCGGTGGACGTTCCATCTCTCCGGTGACAAATTCCCTTCATGAAATAATTTACAGCCACCGGAAGCGACTGGGTGGTCTTCAAGCGGCCGTTCCTGACGAACGCCAACTTGCCGGGGTGGACGGAGGCAGAGGCGCTAAGAGCGCTACCCGCTGCCCTGGATGGCGACGCCCTGGTGGTGTTCCTTATCCCGCCATCGGAGAGAGCCACGTTGACTCAAGCCATCGACCAAATGGCGGCCATTTGAGCCGCCGTCCAACGTGCGCGGCAAGTTCGCTACGCGAAAGATAGGGTAAACCGAGATGCCCTTTGCCTACCGTAGCGCTCTATTGGCGCTAGCGAAGGCTGCCTTTGCAAGAATGGACCACGACAGAGTCGACTTGTTGGTCCTTGAGAGACTGCTGGCTTTGGCTCGGGACCTCAACATCGCTCTGCCAGCTGTAGACGACGATCTTTCGTCCATCAGGGTTGCTAAATGCATTCAGGCTCACCAACTCCTGCAACAGCACAAGTTGGTGGCGTGTTCCGCGTCCCACGAGGGGCCGGATACACCTGAAGATGTGGAGCCCGTCCCAGCATGCGCATCAACCCAGAGTGGAGGCGGGCGAGGGGACGGCATGGTGTGGCGGGCGGATGACCAGGGACGGCGGAAGACATCTCCTGGTCCCGGGAGCAGCCCCGTCGTGTGCTACAGCTGCGGCCTGCCGGGACACGTCTCGTCGGGCTGCGGAGTACCATGACAACGCCTCCCCGGACCACCGCTGTCATCCGCCCAACCGTCCTTTGATCCACTGCACCCTAAGGCAAGCCGCAACACATCCATCTCACCCATCTCGTGCGTTTGGGTTTCGTTCCGGTCGTGCGTCAGGGCGGGATAATTTTGATGTTGATTAGGCCGGCCGGATGCTCCGACCGGGTCAGTGGTCAGAGCTGGCCCATCGAGTGGTGGCCGCGACCGCAGGTTCATCCGCTGTTATTGGACTGATAGAAGGGGTAGAAATTAGGATGCTCGTTGACACCGGTGCATCAGCGGCCATCATTTCAGAATTGATTTATAATATCTTTCCCCCTAAATGTCGTTCCTTGTGCCCTGTCGAAGCTCCTTGCTTCGCCGCAAACAGTGGCTCATTGGGCATTATTGCGAAAATAACAGTGGAGTCCATAATAAAGGTTTTTGGGTTAGATCGCGTTTATTTATAAATGTGTCGTAACCCTCCACCACCCGACATGGCCAATCAGCAAAAAAAGTGTCACGTTGACAAAAGACAAATAATTCACTACTTTAGCCCACCGGTGTGTTGAAGAGTGAATCCACATTTACAGTTTGAGTACGACGTTTCGCGCGATCTAACCCAAAAACCTTTATTATGAATAATATTGGTCGCGAAAGCCTACGTTTTAAAATAACAGTGGAGGTGTGCATTGCGGATGTTAAATTGACAGGACAGGGTCTTGTTTCGACGTCCCTTGCTATTCCTTGCTTGCTCGGGACTGATTTTTTTGGGAAGAATGCCCCTGAAATTTTTGATTGACCAGGGGTGCCTGGAATTACCACCCGGCCATCGAATGGAATTTTTGCCTTCTCCCACCCGCTTATACATGGATAATGCTACCGTGCAAGCACTTGCATGTAGGACGGTGAGGATTCCCCCCGGCGCGCAAATGTTGGTTCCCCTACGATTGAGGAAGCCGCTAGACCGGGGGGCGACGGCGGGAGGAATTCTCCTGGGTCCTGCTAATAAAGTCAGTCGTGGTTTGACGTTGGTGGGGGCGCAGATGTTGGTATCCAATAATCAGGAACCCTTTATTCAGGTCCTTAACGCAGGGTTAGACACGTCGGTCATCCAGGAAGGTACCGTGCTAGCTCATGCGTCGCCAGCACTTCCTGAGGGAAGCATTGTTGGCAATGTGGGTGCCACGTCGAATACGCGGTCGCGCCAGAAACCTGATGAGGGGTGGATAGAGAAGCTTTGTTCCGAGAATGCGGAATTGTCCGAGGTCCAGAGGGGGAAGCTGCAGGCACTTTTGCACTAATTTTCGGATGTTTTTAGTAAAGGGAAATGTGATATTAGACGCACACTGATACGGATGACGCCGCTCCCATCCAACAGAATCCCTACCGGCTGAGCCCTGCAGAAAAAGAACACGTTCGGCTGGTGGTTGACAAAATGTTAGCCACGGACATTATTTCACCGTCCACCAGCCCATGGGGAGCACCAATTGTACTCATTAAAAAGCACGATGGTAGCTTGTGCTTTTGTGTTGACTTCTGTAAGCTTAATAAGGTCTTTGTCGCTGATGCTTGCCCTTGACCTCGAATGGATGACTCACTGGATGCTCTAGCCGGAGCGTGGTTCTTTTCCACTCTTGATCTCCTATCCGGATTCTGGCACTTGCCACTAGACGAAGTCTCGAAGCTCAAGACAGCCTTTCGTACACCACAAGGCTTGATCAAATTCAATCGGCTTCCGATGGGTCTTCATTCCGCGCCGGCCACATTCCTGCGATTAATGGAACTGGTCCTGGCTGGTCTCCAGTGGGACTCGTGCTTGATATACCTCGACTATGTCATCGTTTTCAGCCGAACGTTTAACGAACACCTGGAACGGCTACACGCTGTCTTTCTCAAAATGTGTGCGGCCAACCTGAAATTTTAACCGCAGAAATGTCACTTCCTCAAGAAATTGATTCGGTATCTTGGCCACATAGGAAGTGAATCAGGTATTACGACTGACCCGACAAAACCGCGTGTGTTCGAACTTGGCCGACCCCCACGTCGGTGGGGGAGGTATGCAGTTTTATGATTCGCGTCCTATTACCGCCGTTTTGTGCCCGGGTTTGCTACCATCGCTAAGCCTCTCCAAGCCTTGACGTCTAAGGGTCATAAATTCCATTGGGGGGAGGAGGAGGCCGCATTTGTTTCGCTCCGGGATGGCTTGGTGCACGCCCTTCCCCTCTGCTACCCCGATTTTTCATTGCCGTTTGTCCTTGATACAGACACTAGTAACACCGGAATTGGAGCTGTTCTGTCCCAAGTTGTCAATGGTGTCGAGAGTGTTGTCGCATACGGCAGCAGGGTGCTGTCTCTGGTAAAAAAACGGTATTGTGTCACACGCAGGGAACCGTTGGCCATTGTGGTTTTTGTGCATCAGAATCGTCCCTATTTGTATGGTAGACACTTTTAGGAGCGCTCTGACCAGGCAGCGCTACAGTACGCGCTGCGTGTTGATCAGCCGTCTGGCCAACTTTCACGCTGGTTGGAGGTATTTCAGGATTACTCCTTTAAGGTTACCTATCGCAAGGGCTCCC